GAGGTAGCATGAAAGCAGTATCACAAGGCACACACAGAGAGCTTCACGGACACTGCTGGAGTAGAAAGGAGGATGAGTGTCATAATTGTAAAACTGAAAGCATGAGCACCAAAAAGTTTCAGCACATATTTGTCTCATAAACGGATAAAAACAAAAGCATTCATAAATAGTTACACCTAATTACAGGGAATGGCAAATCTCGTCTACAAAGCTTCTATCTCAAGGAAAAGAACAGTGCAGGGTGGATTTTCCCTCCCTCGTCAGGTGAGGTGGCCTTATTTTCAATATCCAGGGATTCCACATTCATACCACTTTGAAAGTTGGTGGAAGAGGAGGTTGGGCAATGTCTCTCTTAGACTGGTAGCTGGGGAACGAATTATCTATCTTTAAAAAAATAAAATAAAAGCACAACTTCACAACCCTAGTCCTGGTCAAAGATACAGACAAAATAAAACATAAATCAAAAGTGAGAGTAATGACAAGCATTACCCAGGAAAAGAAAACATAAAACTGCCAAACTGTAGGAGGCAGAGCAGCACCAACTGCACAGGCTTGGAATCCTGGCTCTACTGCACGACATGGGCGAATCACACAACATCTTCTAGACTCAACCTTTTCATCTGCAAAGCAGGGGCGAGGGCCTGCTGGGAGAACCATGCGGCATGATTCTGCCAAGCCTAAACGGATACAAATATGGGGGCCGATCACCACAGTAACACAAATCCAGAGAAGTTTCCATCAGAGTGGACTGAGTGTTCTGGTCATCTTGCAAAGGCTAAGTCAGAGGTTTCTGGAGTGATCTTTGACATTTTTGTAATCAGGAGACCCAAACCAGTGCCCAAACCTGAACATCCTGCTCCAGACAGAAACGTCAAGGAACCTAACGAGGCAGGTGTTGGCCTGAAGGCCATTCAGTTTTGTACCTAATGCTTTAGATCCAGTTAGCCTTATGAATGTCTGCAGCCCCTACAGCATCTAACATGGAGGCTTAATCTAGCCCCTGCTCCCTTTATTTTTCTGGGGAAAACACAGGTCCAAGGATGTGGAATGACTTGTTCGGGATCATCTGCTACTTTACTTAAGAGTTAGACTCACACCAGGGACTCAGGAGGCTTAGCCTAGTGGGATTTCCACTACACCACAATACCTCTTTAGAAGCAAGTTAAAACACGCTTGCTATTTTCTTTTCCCAAGAGGTGTTACCCATAATGGAAAAAAAAACTAAGACCCCACTCTAATTAGCAGATTTTTTAGAGATTACTTGAGGCTGTAAAAGCTAATGTAATCATGCATCAAAAAAAAAAAAAGGCATGAGATTTAGTTACAGGATCTGCATTCAAACCCAGTTAATCACCTTCCCAGACGGGCACAATCATTTAACTTTTCTGAGAGTCAGTTTTCTCATCTGAAAAACAAAGATGATAGTTCCTACAGAATTGCTGTGAAGACAAAATGTCTGTCAAATAAAACCGTCAAAAGAAGTGTTTAAGAACAAAGATGCTGAAGTTCTCAAGGGAAAAAATGTCTCCAACTACAAAACTGGATGTAAAGGCTAAACAAATAAATGCTAAGCATATAATGTTTGTAAAATGGAAAACATAAAAACATGAGAAATTTATAGCATAAACGCATTTGGAAACTGGTCAGTCTACTGTAAAAACTGATGTATCACTGATACCATATTGTTTTGGAAGTAGTATCAAAATAGTGCTATCTGCCCTTGAAATCAGGCCTAGAAACATTTAAAGTTGATGACGTGCAATACATGCTTGACTTTGCATCTTACTGACTTCATAAAGCTTTTAAGATCTGTACAGTGATCACACTAACAAGGTAACCAAGGCATAAAAACACAGAGTAAGTTAAAGGAATTAAACACTGCTAACATAGTTGATTATACTATTTCCTTAACTTAAGCTATGTCATACGCATCTAACACACCTAATGATGCTAACCTTCAGTTGAAGAGAGCTGTTATATTTTAGAAACCGTGAAACTAAAAGCAGAAGAGTTATTCAAGTTTTTCCCACAACATTCTCTAATCCCCTTTCCAATGAACAACTAGCTAATGAATGATCTCCTAAAGCAGTTCCCAGGTAAGTTTTAAATGCTGTATACTCTTACTGTGAATCTCCCTTTAGAGACTCCCAATGCATACGAGTAAGAAAAGGTACTGAGAAGTCCCATGAGAACATGTCCCCACATCTGACCACTGATCCCTCCATCACTGAATGGTTCTTGATGTCCCCTGGGGTCACTGTCCCACCCAACACCATCACACACACATAATTGGTTCCAGATTCCTGGAAATTGATAAACATGCAAAATTTCCCCCAAATTTTGAGAATAAACAGGGTTGCTAACTTTTATTTTGCTATGTGAGAGTATGTGAAAAACAACATAGTTTTATGTGACACAAAAACAAAAAAAATAAAATAAAAACATGCATGGGAAACCCTTCTGAAAATTGCAAAATGCTTTCTGGATTGATTTAAGCTATTTTTTACAATGAACTCAAATAGGTTGCCTAGAGAAAAAAAAACAAATTAAGTGGTCATTAATATGTAAAAAGAGCAGAAAAATATTTTAAATTCTTTCTATATCTATGAGTGAAAAATAATGCCTAGAATTCTTTGAACAACCTGCCCCAGGAGAGCATTTTCTGTCTGGTTTCTCCAACAAGATCCCTGTGCTTCAGTGGGGACTCCAGATGCAGCAGTTTCTGCAGGCTCTGCTGTCTTCCTCGTTCGTCTCTCCCTCACCCTCTAAGAAGCCACTCCTTGGGTGGAGGATTATCGGCAACCACATCTTTTTTGGACCCTCTGGCTAAATAATTCTGAATCTCCTTAACACTTTACCAAACTACATACTTACATATCTTAAGGAAAAGCTCTAATTAAGAAAAAAAAATATTGATTTAGTAGCTGTTTTAGTTGATATTTTTATGTTAGGCATTCATTTTGCAGCTAATCATAATTTCATTTTTTATTTCCAGATGACTCAGAACGATGAAAATTTATAAACAATGAATGAACAGGGAGACCACAGTGGTGCCCATGAGCTTGGCTCTCGGGAAGAATAACCTAGTGAGAGGGTTGCACTAAATGGTTTTGCAGTCATTGTGGAGGCTGGGGAAAAAGAAAGGCACAACCTTTAAACTGGAGGCCAAGCCTGCACGACAGCTAAAAGGCGGAGGGATAATTATTTACTACTTCCCTTGGCGGAGGGTTGTTCAGAGATACCTAAATGACTTCTCATCAAATGTGGATCTGAAACCTAGAGCATATCCTGGCATGCTTAGGGTTGGGAAGGGCCAATAAAGTACAGGTCATTATCAAGCTCACTCACACTCAGATGCTTATAAGGTCTGACACTGAAACCACTTTCACCAAAGCCCAGTTCCGACTTTCAAAATTCGAGACTTCTCCAGGCAGGGATGTTACCCTTCTGGATTGCTAGGGCGCAGCATAAAAGGCCAGCTCCTCACCTCATCTCTCTTTGCCTATTAACCCATTCCCATATTCTTATTTCCTTCTTGCTTTTCTCATTCTCCTTCTAATAACCTTTCTGCTGGGTCATCTGCAAACCGCCAAATCCCACTGGAAATATACAACTGTATACTGTTAAGTTTTTTGTGGAATAGGTAATCTACTTCTTTGGCTCACCTGAATACCAATTTCTCTCCGATGAACCCAATTTCCCACAAAGCTATCCTGAGTGAAGGCTCCATGATCTCTCAGACCCCCACCCCTATCTTTAAACTTCTTCACATTTAAAGCTGTGTTGCCCAGTAATACCACTGTCTCCTGTGGACTGTTGAATAAGAAGCTGGAGCCTGGCTTAGGGCACCTCCCTTCTTCCTCCTGGCCTCCATGTCCATTAGGATGACTCAGCAAAGGCTATGGCCTCAGTTTCTCCACTAATTCTACACAAATGACCTTTAGCATCATCCCACTTTTTGAACATGTACACACCATGATTCTGCTTCAGAAATACTAATGATGTCACACTCTCTGGCACAACCTCTTGTCCCTGCAGCTCTGACCTCCCTTTTATCTCTTACATCTGTTTTTGATGCCATCAATCTTCCTGCAAAATCTTCTCCTTTCCACCCTGAGTGCAGGCAGACCACCACTTTGCAACCTGCATGGTGAATCCTGGCCCAACAGATACCACATCATAATGCTCCTCAGCTTACAGCCTTCTCTTTTGGCTTTACCTGCAAAAATTGTTTGTAGGAAAGCAATCTCATCCATAATTAACAAAAACTCATTTTCAAGTGAATTACAGGAAGAACAACAGTCTGAATTTTTAAGAACATGTTTTAATTCAAGCTCTATAGAAGCAACCAGCATCCTGAAAAATAGTAAGTGCTAGAGTTTTTTTTAAGGAAAAGATTAAGATGCTTCATAATTAGCATCATTTACATGAAAATAATGAGTTCCACTGTTCTCATCACAAATTCTGACTAAACAAGAATAATAAATTTGCATTATTCAAGAAAACAAAAGGCTAAATAAAATCCTATATTTTAACACCTTTCAGGTAACAGATTAATGAATGGCTTCAAGAAAAATTATTACCTTATTGAAAACCATTTTTGTTAACTCCCCTAAATGGACACAACACTTATTCTCCCTAAAAATATTGGGTGGCTCAATCTAAGAGCCACTGTAATTACTTTCATACTCTCCTCAATTCCATGTTATATTAACCATACAAATGTAAGAAGGTCTGCTCAAAAACAAGTGAAAATTGGAGATGGTTAAACAATCAAACAGCCTTCTTAAGGCCTTTAAGGTATTACTGGACAATACAATTTTAAAGGTGGCATTTCTGATTACTCTATTTGAACAGTTTTCTAAATATCTGGGCCTAAATAAAATATAACTATAAAATTAAAAGCTTTTAACTGATACCTAACATAAACCCTAGAAATCTTTAATCAGTACTCAGTTAACTCATTCAGCATGCCTCTTTGTCCAAGAAATGATACTTACTTGCAAATTGTAGTCCTGCAGAATTTTAACCAAGGAATCTCTCAAATTGGGAATCTCCATTCCTTCCTTAATACGGTGAATAAGTAGAATTGGGTCAACATGTGTGCCGATGTTGTTTAACAAGCCAGTAATAAATGCTACAAAAGACCACATAAAACAATGAACATGTAAGCAACATTATAATGCAATTTTATTTGCACATAAGGCAATTTTAATCCAAAAGTAATTTGAAGAAAAACTTATTTCCTTCAATGTGTTAAAACCACTTGAATTTCTAAACTGTTAAGAATCAATCTTCTAAACTTCCAAGAACTAATGCTCCTTAAGACAGAAAGGAGAAAGTAAATAAAAACTGTTTTAAAACAATTGAACAAATAATAACTTACCTTCAAAATACATTTTTCAGTATCAAATGGGTGTAACTAATATTTACTGACAACTGACTGTGGCTCAGGCTTTCCTCAAATATTGTGCAAGGTGGGAATGTTGTGTCCCCACTTTACAGGCAAGGGAAACGGGTGTTTAATTCTTCCAGGGTCAGGCAGCTAGTAAGTCATGTGCCCAAATTCAAATTCAGGCCAGCCTCAAGTTTATGATGTGTTCTGTCACATCACTTTGCCTCTTGAGATCCTTAAACTATTGCTCTTCTCGCTAGTTACAAATCAGTTTCCTTATATTGCCAAGAGGATCGTCCTTAAAGTCGATTTCAGATTAAGGTAGTTACATGAACATAAAGACTTCCTACCAAACTTGAAAAGAAAAGGAAAGAGGAAATTCCACATCACTGCTGTTAGTTATTTTCAAAAGAGGTGGGCTTCTGTTAGGTGATTGCTTTTGTTTTTTCCTTTCCAAAATGGGAGACCCAGTGAAAACAGTCAAGCTGAGGACCAACAAATGCAAACTCTGGGTGCTGTACTGATAAAAATAGCAGGAAAGAGGCTAACTACTGCAATTAAAATATCCAAATGCCATCAATGTCCCGAACAGTTACATGTTTCCAAAAAAGACTGGTAAGGTCTCTTCACTTACACTATAAACCCTCCCATACACAAGCTAAAACAAACAAACAAAATCACACCAACACAACTCAGATGATATTTATGGAATCTGGTTGCAGCAGGTCAAAATATGGCTCATGGGGACACAATTAATAAACTGTGTAGCCACCTGTCCTTCATCACATTCAGGTAATGCAAACCGAAGAAGCTCCAGGAGGAGTACTGGAAATCATGACGACACATCCGGCCTCTTTTTCCTGTAGGTACTCTGCCATTTTTGTAACCCAATGTATCTTGATATAATTTTTAATCTAGACATAACTGGCCACACTGAGAGAAGAAAGTGATAATCATAGATGGCTTTTATGCTTACGTGGTTTGTCGATGGAATATAAAATCAGATCTTCCCATAGCTCTCCATCATCTTGCTCCTTGGCAAATTCTATTGCTTTATCAACATCATGTAACTCCTCCATAATCATCTTCAGGGCACTTCGGCTATTACCCATTCGGCCTGCATGGGGTGAAGATGGAAGAAAGAGTTTATTTAGGTATGTTCATAAAATTTTTTTAAAGGAAGTACATATCTCTTGGTTTGTTTACACAGTTGGAAAGCTAAGACAAGACCGTTTTCTCATGTGACACCAGCATTTACTGCTGTAACACAGTAAAATAAGAATGTCCTATGTAGTGGATGTTTACTCTGTGCCGAGTACTCATTTAAGTGCCTCATGTAAATGACATCATTTAACGATCCCATGAGGCACGTTCTACTAACATTCCTCTTCTATAGAAGAGGAAATAGAACTGTTAGTAACTTGCTAAGATCATACAGCTCCTAAACAGTACAGTGGGAATTTGAAGCCAGTCTGTCATATTCTGACTTACTTCCGCTAGAGATGCACATTCTGGAGGTCAGTACCTTCACATTCAGGTACACTTAAGACTTCTAAAGGCTCTAAAGTCATTCTGCCTCATGAGGTAGCTGTGCATGTTGCTTTTCTGACACATTTTGTGCCAATGGCAAATTCAATTGTCAGAGGGCTACCTAATTTCCTTCTCTTCCAAGTTCAGGGGGAAGCTTTTCAATAACCCTTATGAGATGAAAGTATTTCTCAACCATGCTTATATTGGCTAACTTTCTTTACATACTTTGCTCTTTGATCTATGGCATTTTAAGAGTTTAAAATTTTCCGTGAGTTTCTAATACAGTACATGTAAGAAAGCCTTACTCAGTGGAGGGAGAGCAGCTGCCTGGCTGTGGGCTGTCGCCCTTACCCTTGTCTCTGGGCTTGCACAGGGACTAGCAAAGTATCTTGAATCCTTCTCACTGTACATGGCCGTTATCAACCAATAAACACTGGCTTGTGAATGAAAGGATATCCTGATGCCCCTTCCACAGCATTTTGTGTTTCTTACAAATATTTCCACAGTTTATGTCTCTAAAAGTGGTTATTTAAAATGTTTACAGGATTTTCAAGTGTTGATAAAATCAGACTATATGTCCCTTTATCAGTCCTCTACTGTTTCTAAGACAATATGAAAAAACTTTATTCCACCAAAGAATTTCTTGGGGAGAACACTGTTTGGAATTAGCAAATTGATGAGGTACTTAAAACTGTGACTAGAACCCCAGGAACACGCTGAAGTCACAATGCAGCTCCAAAAGCACTTCTAAGGAGGGCAGGGGCCATAATTGGGTAGTTCTGGGTCTGTGGCTGAGCGCCCGTGAATCTACACACACATAAATGGGAACAGAGGATTTGGATTATTTTTCAACAGTGGCAAAGAAGCCAATGAGGGCGCGTGCTGCATGAGAAAAAGGTGTAAGGTGGAAAACCCCTACTGGGGAAGGCAGGCAAGTGACGATGGAGAAACAGCAAACACGAATGTTATGTAGTACGCCGCATTATGCAATCCTCAGTCCAACCCACACTGCTCTCATGCAGGTGGCTCTTTCTGGAAGAATGTGAAAATAGGACAAGTTTTATGTTTCTTGGTACAAAAACTGTGACTCATGTGAAGGCAGGAGCCAGAAGACCGGGAACACTGACACCTAGATTATATTGAAAAGCTCTCCTTCCTCCAGAACTATGGTATTCAACTGCATTTCCTTCAGTTATTTAGGTTGTGATTTTTAAAGCTGATTGTTTTCTACCAATATGATGGTAATAGAAGCTGATTATAATTTAGAAAAATGAACTTGTCAACCCATCCAAAATTGATTTCAATCAATGTTGTGAGGTATAAACTGATAAATTTTTATGTTGATTATACATTACCAATGTTATTTCAACAGATATTAAACAACTCTTCCTTCTTTACTGTACTGTGAAGTCTGCTTTCATTTATCAAATTCTTGTAAAAAATAGCCTCAAATACTGTGTTACATTGGTCTAAAATCTATGTCCTTTCTTACACAATTTACTTCTTGTTGTTGCCCCATTTTTTAGTTTATGGGACCAAAATGAATAAAAGCTACTTACTCAGAAGATAAACTGTCTCTTCCACAAAGTTTCTCTGTTGACAGATCTCAAGAGCCTTTAATTAAAGCAAGGTAACAACATTACTATAGGCTACCAAATAAGAACAAATAGCAATCAAGTCACCTACACTTAGAAGCATAAAAGGATTTTTCCATAGCTTTTCTTTATAAATAAAACAGCAAAAAAAGAAAACACATCTCCTTAGGCTGGCTGTACTCAGTTACCTCTCAGAGAGGTACTGGACTCTATACAGTTCAATTTAAAACGTATTTGAATCTACTCAGAACATTCCATGAGCAGGAGCAGAAAATAAGCCACCAAATGAAAAGAATGGGCCTTTCCCACTAAGCTTTCTCTCTTTACACTTCTTTAGGTTTCTCTACAGCACTGCTTCCTTCATCTGTGGTCATTTGTTTAAGCTGTTTCCCTCCATTAGGATGTAAGGAATGTTGTTCATGGTTGAACTTTCCCAGTAATGTGCATACCATATGCTCAGAAAATATAAATACATGCTGCATGAATGAATGAATGAATGAATTTACTGGGAGTATTTCTACTGCCAGCTCACAGGGGTTGAAAGAGAGCTCCTCTGCTCAAGGATCTGTCAAATGTGAGAAGGAAAAAAACACTTTGATGACCAAGAAGGATCCAAAAAGGAGCAGCTATGCAGATGAGCATTTCCAGGGATGTTTAAAGAAGACATACTATATATGGACAAATTACTTGCTAATTCTAAATTAATCAGGACAGATTTACTATATGATGTGTACTGGGTGCTGGACAGTCAGGTTAGATCGAGTCACAAAGATGACAATAATAAAAAATGTTAGTGATGTTTCCAGGTAAAAAGACAACTAAGAAGAGAAGAAAGAGGAGGCTTAGGAACATTAGCAGTATGAGTCCACACCTGGGAGCTCAGGGTCCAGGGAGTGACAGAGATGTGACAACGGGCCATGTGTACAGAGGAGGGACACTGAACCTGTGTGGTCCTCTTGTCAGAGGCGTCACAGGGGAAGTGGCATCTGAACCGGGTGCAGTATGATAAATGAGTCACCTGGGAAACCGTACCTTACACCCTGCTTACAAAACTTGCTACTGCATTGCTCCACTCTTTAAGGCTGCGAATCTCTACCGTGATTTACGAGGGATCCACAACCCAGCCCTGAATTCCTGTGCAGCTTCACCTCCCTCTGCTTATCTCTCCACTGCGTCCCCTTGCCTGAAATGCTTTCCTCACCCCCCACTCACCACCCTTAGCGATGGCTTCCAACATATATTCCCTTGGACCCCACATCGGGTCAGGTCCCAAGCACTTACTCCAGTTGTACCCTGTACACGGTTTCTCAATACTTAATCAGAGTTGCAATCAACTACTCAGCTAATCATTTAATTTCCCTCCACTGGGACCATGTGCGCTCTAAACTCTGTCCTTTGCATGATACTGGGCCCAGAGTAGATATGCAACAAATATTTTTAAAATAAATGAGCAAGCAAAAAAGGTGTCAGGAGGAAGATTATTGGACTGCGTATTTAGAATGGTCATTTAAAAACAATCAGCCAAGGTTGTTTTTTTTAAAAAAAAGAACCATGGGATAAAAAGAACAGCTCAAGTTGATTAGCTCTTTTGGCTCAATGACCTGTCTTGGGAAAGGACAGCAGGAGCTACTTTTGGTATTTTGATTTTTGACTTAAAATTGTTCCGGAGGCTATATATTTTAAATTAGTGTCTCTGGTTGGAGAGTACCAGCTAAGGAGTAGGAAAAAGCTGGTCATTGAGACCAATGTAGAACATATATATATAAATGTTTTTATCTGTGTGTGTATGTATGTATATATACATAGATATATATGAATGAAAAAGAAGCAACATCACCTTACTTTAGAATTGCACTGCAACAAAGATGGTGTTCTAGGGTACAGACATTATTTACATAAGGAAATGGGAATAACTGAAGGTCATCATGAGATGGAAACAATTTGATAACTCACAATATTTCTTTAAAAATCAGGTAGCAGAGACAGTTGCCTCCCAATATTCTTTTTCCATTTCTTCATAAAATAATAAGATCTTAGCTGGGTACGTAACTGTCCAGAATTTAAAAAGTAAAAATAAAAATTAAAAAACCTCCTGGCCTCTTTAGCAGTAGGGAGCCACATGACTAATGTCTCCCACAAAACTGAAGAAACGCAGGGTGGTGGCTTCGGAGAACCTTCCTTTGAAGCCCTTGTATGAATCCTTGGCTTCCTTATTTGCAGTCCTTCCATCCAATCTCTTGCAGGAAACAATCTGCTGCTGGATGGCACTATCTTATGTCATGAGGTCAAGGTCACCCAACGTGGAGGGACAAGAGGAAGGAGTCCTAGTCTCTGACCCTGTGGCATGTTGCCCTCAGCAGGGCCACTCCACCAGCACTTCCACGTGACAGAGAAACTGCTGCTCTGTTAAGCCACAATTATTTTAGGATTTTTGTCACTCACAGTGGAATCTAATCGTAGCTAATATCTAGAAAATCTTCCTTTGTTTTGATTGAAAATATGATTTACCTATTCCTATATGGTCGGGCCTGTCAATCATTATTATAAGTGATGTAAAGAACTTTCATACCAACTCTTCAGTCTCTTGCAGTGATACTACTGCAGGGATTAAAAAAATTATGTAAGAAGTTAAATAATCAAGCAAAATAGAGCAAAAGCATCAGAGGACATGGGATTCAAACAAAAAATCACTTACAAGCCAAATGAGTGCCTAGATTTGTGCTGGCTGTTAAGATAAGGCTAGTTTACAGTTGACAGGGACTGCCACTCACAGGTAAACAGAACACTGTAATATAACTTAATAAGTAGAATGTTGAGAGAAAGACAGTCTGAATAATGAGTAATTATGTTGCTTAAAATAATTTATTATCAAAAGGTATCCATGAACCAATTCTGTACTTGGAAATTCACTTAACACATTAAAATACTATTCAGAAGTTTCAAACAGAACCATTTCCCCTTTTCTTGTGCATATGAGAATGCTTAAGAACATGTTAGTCTGAAACCGCAAAGAGTTTGCAGTTTGAAGCCTCACCTGAGTTATCTAAGACAGCAGCTACTTGCTCTAGTAAAGTTTAAATTGATTAAAATTAAATTAAATTAAAATTCAGTTCTTTGGTAGCACTAGCCACATTTCAAATACTCAATTGTGACATGTGATTGATGGCTACGATGTCGGGCACAGTAGATCATAAAACGTTTCCACTGCTGTCAGGAATGACACGGAATGCAAGCAGATGAGGAGCACCGAGTTCAAAGACAATTTGCATCTCCGAAATTTCAATTTCACATAATTTTAGATGTTTTGTGACTAGTTTCTAACACAATCTTAAATATCCTCTTCTCACAAATGAGAAAATAGATGTTAGAAATCTCTAGAAATTTTGAGTAAAGTATAAAAAGAAAATATTTAGTCTTGAATGTTCCTGGGCCATGGTGCGCCCTCTAGAGGAAAGAGTAGGGAAATTAAGATTTTTTTTTTTTTTAATTACAGTTTTGGGGCACATGTGTAGATCTTGCAGGATTGTTACAAAGGTATACACATGCCATGGTGGTTTGCTGCCTCCATCCCCCCGTCACCTACATTAGGTATTTCTCCTAATGTTATCCCTCCCCAATCTCCCCCCCCGTTATATCCCTCCCCTAGCCCACCACCCCACAACAGACCCCAGTGTGTGATGTTCCCCTCCCTGTGTCCCTGTGTTCTCACTGCTCAACACCCACTTAGGAGTGAGAACATGCGGTGTTTGGTTTTCTGTTCTTGTGTCAGTTTGCTGAGAATGATGGCTTCCAGATTAAATTTTTAAAGCGCGCGCGCGCACACACACACACACACACACACGGAGAATGCAGTGAAAACAGAAGTGGAAAGTCAGAATAATAATAGAAATTGAGTAAAAACTGATGTAAAAATAGTATTTTAATTCTCCTCTTTCTGATTACGTATGAAGGTAAAGAATCAAGTTAGGAAACTGATGGTAACTAACAGCAACCTTATCAAATGTAAATTAAATTATTATTTCTACCTATCCTTGATCTTGTCATCTTTCATCCAATCTTCTCTTTAAATTTCTTTAATGAAAATCTGCAAACTTGACATCTCTCAGCTTTAGTCTTCCAAATTCAGAAATGCTGCCACCTTGTGAATACTATTAGATACGAGAGTGATCACAAATTCGAGTATAAATCTGCCGAAGCTGGGAAGCCGATGCTCTGTTTTAACCACTCTAGGCACAAGCAAATCAGACTTGCAAAATGAAAACCAGCGCCTGACAACCACTTCTGTAAATTATAGGACAGCTTAAGTTTAAAAAACGAATCTTTCATGATTTTTGCAATACTAGGAAATACCTTAGTTATTGTTACTATTTCAATTAACTTTTTAAACCCGAAAATGATTCCCACCATAGTGGAAAAAATACAGAGCCTAAAGTTAAGTGATCCAAGTTCTAGGCCTTGGTCCCTCAGCTTATTAGCTCTGAACTTGAGGCATTTTTCTAACTCCCTAAGACTTGGCTTGTCATGTATAAAATGACTCTATCCACCTAACTGTACTTTTGTAGAGATCAAATGAAACAAGGTACATAAAAGCACAGCATAAATTATAAAGCACAAAATAAATAAAAATAATTTTTATTATCTTTAAAAATTGCTGCAGATGTCATAAATTCCTACAAACTGTTTTTCCTTTAGAACAAACAATTTCATAAAAGCGTAAGACTAATTTTTAATTCTGGAGCGGTGGTGATTTTAAATCCCGAACTCTGGCCTTTGATAACTACAACTAGGGCTTTAGATGTGATGTCACGATCATTCCAAAGTTTTGGGCCAAATACTGTGATTGTGGGATTTCAATCAACTCAAAATAAGGCTGACAGAGATTCCTGAAGATTTCAGTCAGTTGCCGATCTGAAATACCTCCTCTCAACAATCAGCCAATCCCCAGCCAAGGCAGACAACCAAAAATTGGAAAGATACAGTGTTGTTCTGCCAGAGGTAAATTATAAACAATAGTGGATTAACAGGCTCTGATTATGCTTCTGAAAGCTTAAATACTTCTCATTTGGGGAGGGTTAACACGGGGAGAAATGCCAGATATAGCTGACGGGGGGATGGAGGCAGCAAACCACATTGCCATGTATGTACCTATGCAACAATCCTGCATGATCTGCACGTGTACCCAGAACCTAAAGTGCAATTAAAAAAAAAAATATATATATATAAAAGAGTTTTAAAGTTCTCAATTTCATATTCAGGAGAAACAGAGGCCACATTTTCTATGAGTCTCTCTTTACACAAAAGAGGCAGACCTGTATTCCGTGCCCTTCACTAGCATGCTTGGATGTGTTTAATTGGAGAAATCCACTTTGTCATTCATAAATTGGTACATATGACAGCTTTTTCATGTTACATGTAAACATAAAAAAATGGGTTTCTTAGATAACTAAGTACATACAGAATTCTTTCTTATTTATTATTCTTTTTTATTTATTTAAAGAGAGTTTTGCTTTCTCGCCTAGGCTGGAGTACAACGGTGCAATCATAACTTACTGTAATCTCAAACTCTCGGGCTCAAGACATCCTCCGGCCTCAGCCTCCTTGGTAGCTATGAATACTGGCATGTACCGCTACAGTGGACTAATGTCATTTTTTATAGAGACAGAGTCTTGCTATGCTCACCAGGCTGGTCTCAAATTCCTAGCCTGAAGCTATTCTCCCACCTCAGCTCCCCAAAGTGCTGGGAGTATAGGTGTGGGCCACCGCACCCAACCGGAACTTATTTTTAAGGAAAAAGGAATGAGAATCTTGAGTTCGTAATACTGTCATGAATACCTCCTTTAAGACACCTTTGGGTAGCTGATAGGGTAGAGATAGGGTGTATTTCTACAAATATACAGATTTCCTACAATAGATCCCAACAGAGAGATAATCTCTTAGGAAGAAGTCTCAGTAGTCTGAAATATAAAAACCCATTTAGGGAGTCCTAAAAATATGGATTACTAATGGTCTGCTTCCACCATTACCACCTCTCACCCATGCACAAAATTCTCTTTCAGTGGGACACATGAGATAACTTTTTAAAAACAACTGTGTTTAAAACATAATTGATTTTCATAAGCTTCTGCTGAGTTCTTTTATATTCAATATGTTGTTTTCAGTGGACCAGAGAGAACAATTGTACAAGGTCTACACAAATGCTCTAAGCAGACTTATGTGTGGGAAGCACCACGTGCAGGTCTGCCACGTTCTGCTGCTCCCTACTGGGTGGAGCAGGGCATCTTCCACTGAGTACTATTAGACACAGAACTTTAAACCAGATGGGCGACAGCGTGTGAGCAGTGTAAGGTGACTCGAACCTGGGCGGTGCCTCTGCACCTTGTGCTTAAGGAATGGGAACGGCTGCTAATCACCCACGTGTGCAAGGCTCTGTCTGAGAGGACAACTGAGACTTCAGTAGAGTGCCACATTCTCTCTGCAAATGTACATTTTCTTGAAAAGTGAGAAATAAATGAAGGGGCACTATTCAAAGAAAAAGATTCTCACTCTGCTGCCAGATTATAAAGTCCTGTAGTGAGAGAAGAGTCATGTCTGTTTTTACTTTTAGAGTAAGACAAGGAATTTCCAGATTTAGTCCTCGGAAAACACAGGCCCCAAATATACAATGCTAAAGTTGTTTCATACGTTAACAGGCAGGCAAGATATTTACTCATTAATTGTAGACTTTAAAAATCCACTGAGCTAAAACTGTTTCACGGTAACTCCATGCATTTAATCACGTGGGCTGAAGAAGCAAACATGAGGGCTGTAAGTGTACATCAACTGTGCTGTCAGTCAGCTTCTTCGCACACATCTCTTATGGGTCAAGTATGTCTTCTATTTTGTTGGTCCACACAGCTTTTAAAAAGAATCTGGCCATCCAAATTTAGTCAGGTATCTGTAGATGTTAGTGTTAGATGGTATCGAGAACCATGGCACATAACCCTACTGGCCTTCAGGCTGCCGAGTTGTCAACACACACACAGTTAAGCACTTCGGTTTGTTTTGAAAGAGCACTCACATAAAACTTTCTAGTCCTTGTTTCGCTCTAGCTCTAACTAGGACCTTGCAGGTGTTAGTTATTCCTTCTCTCACTCATACTGCAACACACATTTAGTGAATGTCTAGTGTGTGCTGGGTACTAGATTTACCAAAATGAGTAACACAAATTCCTTATCTTTGAAGAATTTACAGGAGAGAGACTAGTAAGCAGATAATTATAGTGGAATGTGGGATGCCAGAGAAATATAGAAACACACAGAGGAGACACTTAAAGATAGGATGCAGGACTAAAGCTACGACCTTGGTTTAGCAAACCTGATTCCTGACTGGAGCAACTGCTTCTGGCTTAGGACAGTTTGTGTCTCCCTCCCAGGCTCTGACTCTGAGGTGCCACTCTGGTCCTGGGAGATGGATGGAGATTCCTAACATATCATTTTTGCTTGACGGTTAAGTCCTAGGCTCTGGATTAAACTGTTCCTCCAATTAAACCTGCCACAGAAATGCTTCAGCGCTTCACCAAAGTCTTAACCCAACGAGACCTCCATTTTTCAACAGAATGTCCCAGCAAAAACCTACCTCTTTGAGAGCAAGTCTTCCCCTTGGACAGAGATGGATGAGCAGAGATAGGAAGAGAAGAATGACAACTTACCATCAATGACAGCCTCTTCATCCAAAGTGTACAAGTGGAGGGGTCTGTGCCTTACCTTTTCAAGGGGGCAATGGGTACTGTCTCGGAGAAAGGGAAGTAAGTTTGGTCGATCATATTCAGCGTAAAGACTGATCTGTTTTTCATGGTAACGCTGCCCCTTATGGTGATCTCTCTTGAAAAGCTTATGCAAATACTAAAAGGAACAAAAGATAAGCCGTGATCCATTAAAACAAGAAAAGCAGTACCTGGCAACGTTATTATTTTTACGTCTAAACAGCTCCCATGGAGAGGGTGGAGGAGAAGCAGTCTTCAGGAAAACCCTCTAAGTGATAGAGAATTGGAAAACCCTTTGGGAGAGCAAAGGATTCTGATACTTTTCTAGAAGGGCCCAAAAACCTGACTCTGCCACGTACCAATTAAGTGATCTTAGGCAAGTCACTAATCTCTCTGAGCCTCAGTCTATCTACAAAAATGTTATTGAGTTATTGTGACAATTAAACGAGTTGCCATTACGAAATCACTCAGAACCAATGAACTCGGCATGCACCAAGCACTGCAGAAATGTTAATGAGAGTAACTGTCATTGTCTGGTTTGCTCACAGGTAAAAAGATCAGCGGTGTTCCCAGATCATAAAAAATATTTCACAGAAAAAGGGTAGAGTCCTGGGGCAAGCACATGTTCTTAAACACTCAAGTGGCTGGCACTGAATGAATTCCCACACATTCTGCATCTCCTCTTTGTCAAGTCTTAAAATGAAATGCTGCCTCAACTAGCAATGTCAAAAACAATAATACAAAGTAAAAATAAAGAAGAATGCAGGTGTTCTGAAACAGTTCAAAACTGATTCCTTGCCCTAGCTGTCTGAAAAGAAGTTAATGGACTTGAAAGGAAATGAGTCCTTCACTTTCTCCTTGCAGGCGAGATTATCGATACAGTACTCAGAATTCAGAAAACTATTCAATGTTCAGTTAATATTAAATGTAAACAAAAACCCCACAATCTACTGAAGACAGGAAGACTTAATCACCAATCACGCAAAGTGCATAACACCTTGGGTGGCCTGGCAGTATTGGTTTATAACAGACACAGAGCACCAGCCCACCCTGCGGCTGAGACTGTAAATGCACTATTTGTTATCGCTGTTCAATCTAGTCACAATAAGGCCTAATCATGAACACAGGCACCTTAAGAAACGAATCCTCAGGCTTCCTGTTCACCTCTTCCTAAGGAAAAATGGAGAGGTACAAGCAGTAGACTGAACTCATGTCATGTGCCAGGCCGAGGTCTGATGACCACCACCGCCAGTCCACTGTGAGCAGGGATACGTGGTGCTGTATCCCAGAGTGCAAACAGGACAGGGAGGCTCTGTCACATGAATGCTGAGTCAAATTTATAGACACAATACATTGCCTGGCAGGGACGGTGAACGGTTTTCATGTGGACTGGGTCACCACTTCACTGCTGCACTACACTGTCATGCAGATAGGTACTGGCTTAAGTAGGTCAGAAACCACCACTTTATAAATGAATTCCCAAGGTGGCTAGCAGTGTGGAGCCTTGCTTGGAGAAGCAGATAATCCTGAGATTGCCAATCATGAACAATGCAGCAATAGCATCTGAGCAAACGAGAAAAAAAGATCCCTCGCTGGGCGCGGTGGCTCACGCCTGTAATCCCAGCACTCTGGGAGGCCGAGGCGGGTGGATCACGAGGTCAAGAGATCGAGACCATCCTGGTCAACATGGTGAAACCCCGTCTCTACTAAAAATACAAAAAATTAGCTGGGCATGGTGGTGCGTGCCTGTAATCCCAGCCACTCAGGAGGCTGAGGCAGGAGAATTGCCTGAACCCAGGAGGCGGAGGTTACGGTGAGCCGAGATCGTGCCATTGCACTCCAGCCTGGGTAACAAGAGCGAAACTCCATCTCAAAAAAAATCCCTCACATTCCCTGCCTGCAGTCTTAAAAAGCTTCAAAGCAGAAAACTGATTTTTAAATAAAACACTCTACTCCCTAAGCCTCCTCCTAGGGTGCAACGAGATGGGCAAAGCTACACGTGCACTTACTGTATCTGATACCTACAGTCCTACGGAAATAATCGCTGTGTCTGCTGAAGTTTTATCTTCTCCAAGTTTCAAAGGACACAGAAAACAACAACTTCTGCTTCGTTCTCATGATAACGTGATGTAGAGAATCGAAGTAGCAGGCCCTAACTGCACCACTACCAACAGCACACAAGAAAAATGGGATCAGCTACTGTCATGGTGAGGGACAAACAAATGAGGCTCTGCTCCTTTACTGCTCTGCAGTCCTGGGTATGGGACGGCTGTCCGACCTGTCCTTAACAGGAGAACTTGGTACAGTATCTGCAGTGCCATCCTGGCTGTTACTGTGATACACGCCATGGTTGTATTTAACAGGAACTACAGAGGGACAATGCTCACTCCCAGACACGGCGTAACACAAAAACATTCTTTACAGTTAAACATATTTATATTATTGGTAACATTCTTCTATTACAATTCAATTTTGGGTCAAAATTCAAGGGTCTGATCTACGATTAATCCCTGGTCTTGAATTCACAGCATGTGCTGCATTTTGGTAATTACAGAATGTTGTTTGCTGTCAAATCTCCAAGTGGAATATTAACCTCCTTCAAGAGTTCACTCCAGTATCCTGCTCGCACCAATACTTAAAGGTGATTCACCCACCGGTCAATCAGAAGGGCAAAAGGAGGAGACCGCCATGCTCACCACATGCTGCAACTCTGGTCTGTCTTCCAATTCTTCCACTACCTTCTTAATCTAGATAAAAAAGAAAAGTTTAAACGTGGAGTTATGAGGACGTAAACAGCTGCAAAATAATCTGATAAACATCTCTCTTCATGGCTATAGGAGTCCCAGACGTTCATCTGGTAACACATATAAAAACAAATGGTACTCACTGAAATTTTATCTTCATTGTCCAAAAGCATGTCAACAGCTTTCTGAAACATAAAAAAAGTCACAGTCGAAAAACTCCATTATTTAAGAAGAGAAGACTAACAAACACCATGCAGTGTAGCTGCGGTGGTTCACAGGAGGAGGGCTTATTCTGTATACTTAAGGAGGCCCTTAGCTCTACAATGGCCCTTATGGAAAATGATATTTGTGAAGAAATGCATTTTCAAATGCATCTCGATCTGAAGTCTGTGTTTTGCATACTATTAAAATGGTGCTTTGCTGTAATTTACCAAATACAAAACATCTTGTATGCCCATATCCTAGCCCCCCACAATGTCTCAGACACCTTCACACCCTCTCGTGGGACTCTCAGTGGTTATGGAGAGCATCTCTTTACCAGTATATCATGAAAATGAGTGTTTCTTCTGGCTACTCAAACCTTGACCTAGTCTCCCTATGAGACTCCACAGACAGAAGGAGCTGGTTTTATGAGGAGAAGGGAATAAGAGCCAGCAAGAGAATGAGGTACCTCAAGTTTCATAATGACATTAAGTTTTTGGACTTTGAGAATTTAGCCTCTTTTATCATTTGGGAAACACAAATTAGGCAGTTTACGCCAAAAGGAAGAGGGAAGAAAGCACATCAGACTGAGCCTCACACAGAAGACCTAGGCCCTGTTCTGCACTCTCCTACCCAGCTGACTGCTCCAAATGTTACTTTGTGCTCTGAAATACGAGGGTGTTGGAGTAGATTATCCCTAAGGTCTCTTCTAACCAGAAGACTCTGACTCTTTACATCTGGATCACATTCTCAAGTAGCAATTAGTTTCAGCTCATTCATCTTTTTTTCCATAGCTACATATGCAAAACGGGGCTCTGCAGAACAGTGGAGGGGGGTGCATGAGGGCAGACTAGATATGAAGAAAATGTACTTAATTTTTACATAAGCATCTCATCCTCTGCCAGACAAGCAGAGCCTCTCTACCTGAGCTTCCTTGGAACTACATAATTCTTTGTAAATCAGTAGCCCCTAAGGACTTGACTCAGTATTTTAAAAAGGGCTAAAGCATCTTTGAGAAAAAGAGGGAGATCTAGCTCCTATCTAAATGAAGTTTAAGTTGGTGGAGATTAATGTAGCACACAATATCTCTAAATACAGTATAATATAATTGAAAAATGCATTAATCCTGTTGGAGCCTTTAGGGTTCTAATTTTAGGTTCATCTAAAATTTCAGTTTTTTGAATAAAAACACTTTTATAAACCTCATTATTTCCATCACGAGCACTTGCAATTAGATTTCTTTTAAACACACACACACACACACACACACACACACACACACACACACAGCTTGCATCACTTTGCAAGAGCCAACGTGAGCTGTGGCTGGGTCCACTCATTAGGTTGCGTAAATTTTTTGTTATGCCATTCAAAGTTTTCAACTCACAATAAAATAACTCATTCCACATGTCCTGGACACGAGCATCAACTCAAACCAGGGGAAACCCCACATGCTGGATCCGTGAACACCAAGAAATAAAACAGTAATAAATGGGTCAAGATGGAAGGTCACTTAATTTTTAAATTCTGGAACACAGGTTAGGAGGGTTAAATGAGTCAAGGCATACACCTGGTTTGTTTCTATAAATCATACAAGTTGCTTTAGCAAGAAAGTACTTCATATGTGCATACACACAACTTTAAAAGTTCTCTATCAAATTCTAATTGCTTTCACAAAATAATCACATTAAGAAAATGATTCCTGAATGCCAAACAACTAAAATAACTAACATGTAGTGTGGGTCAGAGTGTTCTAAACATTGTCTGCATACAGTCAAGTTATGCAATTCATTCACCAATCCAGCATTTGGATGAATATCAAGTATTAAATGTTTGGAATAGGAAAAAGAATTGACAGTACTAAAATGAAAAGCACATTACCTCTGAATCAAAATCCATTAATAAAACAATTTTATCCTTGATAGAACTGAAAAGATTATGCTTGTGGATCAACTGAAAAACGTCTTTATGTCTTAAAGTTAGGTATATTTCCAGGGCATTGCCATAGTTCTTGTCATAGGTATACCTGGTAATACAAATTTTTTACATTAATATTCATCAATAGCTCTAAGTAAAACACACAGAGATCACAGTTCACAATATTAAAAATGGAATCACTTCTTTAAAGAGAAAAATCAACTTTATTTCAAAACATACTCCTTGGGGTTTAACTACACATGCTGATAAGTATTTCTTTCTCAGAACTTTGCCTTTCATGTTGCCAAAATTTCAGAAAACTTGCAATATTCATGTTAAAAAAAAAATGGTCTTTATTGGAGGTCTCAGCCTAAAAGTTTTACAAACATCCATATAGCAAAGAAACAAGGGTCTGGGATGAAGCTGTCATTTTAGTAACAGAAACATCTGCTCCAATTCTTACAAGCAGCATTCAGCTGACAAACGGGTAATATTCCCAAAGTTGATCTGTAAGGGGGCTGTATTGAACGGAAATACAGTGTTTTTCACTTTAAGTCCCTAAGCCAGCTCGTGAGAGCCCTGAACTGAAGCTGCACTGCGAGTTCATTACAAACAGTTCTGCAGACTCTAAGGGGCGTCCAGCAGGACAGTGTTTCCAAGAGAAAATGATGAACTCAGAATGCCATAAACATAACCTCCTCTGTGGCAAATCCAATACAGTCCTGAGTTCTAGGTCATTTTGGTATACCTTTCTTGGTTTTGGGCAAAAGAAGAAAAAGGATGGAAGAGAGGAGTGGTCTGGGGTGATGGGGGCACTGAGGAGAGGCAGATGCAGGGATGGTTGTCTTGGCTAGACCTGCAGTATACTTCTTGTTTCCCTGGAATGAAGGTCCTTGAGAGCCTATCTTATCTATGTCTGTATCACGAGCATCTCACACAAAGCCTGTATCACTGATCGTACCCAACACATATGAAAAGTACTAACCAAGCTGCCCTTTTCTGAGCCCTGACTCACTGTCAGGCAATGCACTTAGTCCTTTACTAAGACCTCTCTTTTAAAGCTTAAAATTATCCCATAAGAACTGACTTTTTAAGAGATTAAACTAACTGACTTGAAGATCCTAGAAGAGCAGAATCCAGAGCCTCGTTCATTGGGAAACTGCTATGCTTGAGTGATCTAAAACTCGGGACCCTTTTGGTTCCTAACCACTGCCTCTCCCAAGTGCTGCATGTTAGGGTTTCTCTCCTCTGGGAAACAGATTACATTACAACTGTACAGTTTCACACATATCCTTATCTTCTACTCACTTGAGGTTCATGAAAGATCTTCGCTAAGAGGGAATGTGGGAAAATGGTATCAAATGCATCCTCTCCACTCAGTTTGCCATATCTAAAGTATGAAAAACTTTTCAACATCGATCGATATGGATGAAGAAACACTTAAGTATACTCACAGTTCTGCCAGGGTTTTAAGTAAAGTCTTGTTCTGAGTATCTTTCTTCAGATGATCCCGAACTGCCTGAACTATGACCGAATTGTTATACAGATCTCCAGGCCATTCTCGGATCAATGTGGCAAAACCCTAACCAAAGGGGAAAAGCAGAAAAAGAACACTCATTCTATAGAATACTAGTTGTGATACTGTGAAACACACATCTGGTCCCCTTTCGGTTTCCTGGCATCTAACTCCTAAAATCCTTAGAATCTCCAAAATGATGTGTTTGCTTGTAGGCTAATGAGCTGGCCGGTGGCCGGCAGCCCCTAGGTAACTTCATGATAGAGTTGTTCATGGGACAGACTACGGCAGGATTCGAGGGTTGGAACTTTTCAGCCCCACCCCCACCCCCACCCCACAACCTCCAAGGAGAGGAGAGGGGCTGAAGGTTATGAAGATCACCAGAGGCCAACGATTTAAACAAATCATGTCCAAGTAACAAAGCTTCCGTGAAGTCCCAAAAGGACTGGCCTTGGAGAGCTTCCCAAGAGCTGAACACTGGAGGGTCCTGGAGGTTGGCACAAGCAAAGAGGGCCTGGAAGCTTCATGCCCCTTCCCACATACCTTGCCCTGTGCATCCAATCTATTTGGCTGTTCATCTGTATCCTCTGCAATATTCTTTATAAGAAACCGGTAAATGTAAGTCAAGTGTTCCCCTGAGTCTGTGAGCTGCTTTAGCAAATGAGTCAAATCTAAGGAGGTGGTAGTGGGAATGCCAGGTTACAGCTGGCCCGTCAGAAGTACAGGTGACGGCCCATAACCTGTGATTGGTGCATCTCAAGTGGGGGCAGTCTTGGCCTGAGCCCTCAGCCTGCAGATCTGATGCTATCTCCATGCAGACAGTGTCAGAGAGGACCCCCAGCTGGAACTAACTGCTTGCTTGGTGTGTAGGGGAAAAACTCACACACTTGGCCACGGAAGTGTTCTGTTGTGAGTGTATAGCATGAGAAACTGAGTTTGGCTTTTCCTAAATTCTCAGAACAAACCAAACAATTTAAACCATCCCTAAAGTATTCTCTTTAAGTCACATAAAATAGCAAACAATTATATGATTAAAACTGTGGTCAATAAACATTTCATCAATTTTCAGACTATAGGTTTGGGTGTCGTGAAGAGTTGCAGGGAATATTATTGTACAATAAGTCTCCATTTAGCATTCCTGGGAAGTAGGCTGTGCCATCTACTTCTGTTCTTAATTTTATGAAATGTACAACTAGGAAGGTATCTTGTTCCTTCTATAAAGTCCCACTGGATGGACGGAGTTCAGGGTGGCCTTGCTCTCTCCCCATTCTGGACTAACTGTTACACTTGGGTGACAGCTTCAACATCTTACAGACACTACCCAAGTCAGCTACTTTTCCCACCACCAAGAGTCCTCTAATGCACTTAGGTCTGGGCTGCTGGGTGCAACTGGTTATGCATTTGTGCACTGTATAGCCAGCACAACAGTATGGGCAGTCTGCTTGGGACGGGCTGCTCCCACAGTGTAATGTAATCTGACCTTCAGTGCTCTATTTAGCAACACAAAATTTCCCTCCACACACTGTGTGATCAAAAGTGTTGTTAGGGAACACAGCTATTTGACTGACTACGTGACAATTTAATTCAAAATTAAACATTAAGCTGAGAATAAAGGAAGCTACAATCTGAATTATTTATAAGAGCATACGAAAATAAAATCAAATTATTTACAACCTCCTTAACAGTACTGACCAGAGAGATATCCTAAAGCATTCAGGAGAAAACATCTATAATCTCTAAGGTTAAGTCATGCCTGTTTCTTTCCATCTTAGTAAAAAGGGTTCCAGATTCGAAATCAACAGGATAACTTTGATAATACAGGATTTTAAAACGTTTCATGGAAAAGTAAGCGTTCGATTATGTGCAAGTGATGGAATCATAAAAACAAAAAAATTTTCAAATGCTTAGATTACGTTACTTTAAAAATAGGAAAATTATACTATACTTCAGCATTTGTAAAGAAAGTCTGTACTCTTCTCCAACATTTTCACAGAACACTCATAATTCCCTTTCTTCTAGGATGGTGTCAAAGACGGAATATTTTTGACAGCTCCTCTGCATGCTCAGAATATACTGGAAAGAAGTAAGTCTCTTCACTGACGAAAGCTTTTCTAATGATCATGCCCACTAATGGCCTTTTTCTTTAGATCTCTTATAGAACGGACTGTTCTACCTTAGTTATTTTCTAGTTGCTCACGACTTTTTAACATGGTCTCCCAATTAGGCTGGAAACCTGTGGAAGGCCAGGACTATGTTTTTTAAAAACTTCTCCTGGATCCAACTGAGTATTCAGCCCAGTTCTAAACAATGGTAGGTTCCAAATAAAGACTTGTCTGGTTCCAAATAAAGATATGTTGAACTGAATAGAAAGTGAAAAGGAACCATGCTTCTAGCCTCCATTAGTAGGCTGCGACAGAAACTATTACCACAAAATCTTCTTTACACATCTAGTAAGGTGAAGATTGGATTATGACATGATGATACAGGCTATTAAGTGAGGATGAAGAAACACCAACCCCAGTAGCAAGTACAGTTAAATATTTCAATCAAGTTTAACTCATGCTAAGGTACTTAGTCCCTTCGTATGCTAGGAATGCAGACTTATTAAAGGAAATAAAGTATACTGTCACTCAGGGATCTGGATGCTTGGATTTTATATACCCAGGAATACCTGGTTGACAGTAACAAACCAAAAACTTACGTTTTCAGGATAAAAGATCATTACGTCTCCAAGATCCCTTTAGAGCTTAAGACCTAAAATCAACTCGGAGTTAAAAGGTAGGTGTTTGCCATATTACCCTTCTTTAAACTCAATCATTGATTGGTTATTTCCATGAATTCACTTTTTTTCCAGCTATCTCATATTCTTGTTGGAAAGAGACAAGTTGTGAATAAAGTCCTCCTTATCTTTAAAATACAACCCCAAAATATAAGACGTCAGTGACAAGCTGCAGCGTACGGTCAAGCACCAAAAACGAGTAATTATCACTAAGTTAGGACCCTGAACTTTCAAAGGAGCAGAAGATGTTGCCACTTTTATTAAAGACCATGGAGATAGGGAAGAAGCTAGAGAACAGCAGCAGAAGTCCAACACTTTACATCTCCTGGTTTCTGAATCCTCCTAACACCAGTCACAGCTTTGAGAAGGAGCTGACCAGCCTTTTCTAAGACCTGTCCACTAGAAATCTCATGTCTTCCTCTGGACGGAAAAAGAAGTAGGCTATCTCAGCCACACTCTGTTTAGCCTTATTAGGGCGCCTAGCATATTAGATAATGATGTGGGTTTCTCAACCACAGGACTACTAGCAACTGAGGGCAGACCGTTCTTCGTCCTGGAGGCTGTTCTGCGCACTGCACGATGTTTAGCAGCAGCCCTGCCTCCATCCACTAAACGACAGTGTTATCAGCTCTCCAGCGCCAACAACCAAAAACGTCTCTAGAAGCTGCCAAGTGTTCCCAGGGGGCAAACTCAGCCCCAGCTAAGAGCCACTGGTTTACACGCTTGGGTGTGACTTCGATTATGAACCACCAACTGAAGAGGCATCACTTCATTCACATTTGTATGCCTATGCATAGCACATTCCTGGAATATGGCACATACGGAACAGATGTTTTATGAATAAATGAGTATTAAATGAACACACTTTAAAAATCATACTTTATTAAATTAAAATGATGATAAAATTAAGAGTTTATAATTCCAATTTTATTCTATAGGCAGGATGCTTGCAACACTAAATTTAAATTCAAGTCAAGCATGACTATTTATTAAATGGATGGCCTTGGACAAGTTAATTTCTTTTAATCTTTGGTTTCCTCATTTGTAAAATTGGGATATTACCACTTACAGTGCTGTTGGGGTATTAAACAGTAATATGCATGTAAAAGTACAGAGTATAGCAGATAAACAATATAGGTACTGCCTTCCTCTTTTAATCAATCAACAAACAGATCATTTTAAATCTGTTTCTCCAATCCTGCCTCTAGTTTCTTTCTCACCCCTCTTTGGGGAACTTTGTTCTGAGGCTCAGGCTTTAAAAGTCCTGAATTCTTTGGGCCTAGTGTAAGCACCAATAGCAGCTGCTATTATATTTATGAAATACACAAAATAGCACTTAGCTCTTTTTCTTTAGTTCTATGAAGAAGGTAACTTTAAGGAATTCCTTCAAATGCACACGGACTAGGAGTTTTCACTGTCTACATAAACGTGAGTTATCCCTGGAGTTTATCTAGCTCAGTTTCCTGCCACATGCAAACTACAAATCTGTGTTCTTTACAGACATTGCTCCATTGTATTCCTTTCTAGATTTCCTAACACTTCCCATCGAGAACAAGTAAATATGACACTGCCCATCGAGAACAAGTAAATATGACCGTGTCAGAACACCGTACCTCATAATCACTCTCCAAAAATTCATGTAAGATCATTTCATAGATGAGTGGTTTCAGAACTGGATCACCTCTTGGTAAATAAGGACTAATAGCCTAGGTAAGGAAAAGAAAAAGAAAAATCCTTTAAAAAATGGCAAAACAAAACTGCACTCCAGTTATGCGGAAAACATGAAGTAAACTTTTACTGTAACAATGTGAGGCAATGCAGTACTCGGAAAAAAATGTTCTGAAGAGGATTAAAACGAACACTACTTGCTAACAACAAATTGTATTTTCAGAAGTATATATGTATAAATGAATTTATAACATTGCCTAGGTTAATCTTTATCTCTCTGTTCATCCTGAGGAGTTAATATTAAAAAATAAATAATAGGAGGGAGAAAGCCAGAGAGATGAAGAAAAGCCAATTTCGTAAGTAATCAAGGAGTATAGGTAATATTCATCTTTCTTTCCTTCAGCTGGAGTTTATCAACCTCTAACAACTCATAATCATCTTCTGAAATGAGGAAAAATACATCTTATGTTCTTCGGGTATTTGCAGTGCTGTGTTAAAAGTCAAATTTCCAAATACTGTTCAGTGACCCTCTAAGGCCCTATGATCCAATCACATGCTTCGTACTGGGGACAGGCAGAGGGTCACCATCCCCAAAGAGCTCACAAGTCCTAGAAGAAAGATATGCAGGCGATTGAACAGATAATAACTGTATTATGCGGTAAGTGTTACAACAGAGGGGTCAGCACGGTGCTGCAGGACCCTGCCTATTAAAACCCTGCGTTTCTCCAGCAAAAAATAAGAGAGGGGTGGGCAGGACACCTGGCAGCGGGAATAGCAAGTGCAAAGGTGTGGAGCCATGAACACGCATCTGCGTGCAGGGAGGTCAGAGGGGCCCGGAGATGCAAGATGGTGTCACTGGAGGGAGATGAGGATGGAGGGGAAGGGGAGGTGGGGCTGTGAGAGGAATTCTACTTTTATTCTATGGGAAGGAAGGAAGCAACAGATATTAGGGAAGTGGGAGTCAAGACTAATTTTTGAAGCAGCTAACTCTGGGCTAGGGCTGCCCATGATCTATCAGAAGGCATCTGCAATGGCATCGGAGGGGAAGAGAAGAGACCTGATTGGTATTGACATGATAAAGCTGATAAGAAGTGGAGATTAAACAGAATGAGAAGGGGTTTAAGATGTTCGAATCAAGAATAATGAGTGGATTTGATTCCCATCGGAGAATGAGTACACTGTGTATTATAAACACAGACTGAATGGAAAAGGACTGAATTTGGGAAGGAAATGGATTTACATTAACTTGAATTATCATTATCAGCAGTATATACAGGGAGAAATGGCCATCATATGCAATTCAAAACAGAGGTCCAAGTTAAAGCAAACAGGGAAGCAGGACTGGATAAAATCCCCCAGAAACAGCCCGATTAACCCATTGAGAAGTGTAACATTTACAGGGCAGACAGAGGGAGGAGTTACACGTTGACAAGCTGAGTAACTGGGAATTTTCCAAGCATATTCATAACTCTAAGAGAGCATTCAAAAGGTCCACAAATACTGAAAAATTTTTAAATGTTTAAAACAAACATAGGAATATTTTATTGATTGATTGGGATGTTATGCATTAAATTGAAAGATTTTAAAAAAAGAAACATCAAAATTATCCATTAGAGCTACATGGTCAATTTTTTCCATCTGTCTTCCAGCAGTTAAAATATTATTCGAAAAATACATTAATTATTCAGTAAATCTAAAAAAGGTCTTATGCTTTATAACCTACTGGATGAGATTACACCTATTTTCAAAAGTCATGAAAACTTCATCGAAACAGAGATAACTGGAAGGAGATAAGCGAACACACTGTATATGTAATATATATAATCTGACCTATGTGTGTATTTTTTACATGAGGCTTATATTTTGAAACTGATTTCTAAAGGTTTGATTTTCCTTTCCATCTGAGATAATAATTACTTACTAATAAAGAGCTGAGTACTATTATGTGTCCACTGCAATATTAATATACTAGTTGAAAAAACTGTGGGTTAAAAATAAGGCTTTGCTCACCTTAAGCTGTCCAATTTCTTTAAATTTATAAACTTCATATTCCCAGAGTGCTGCATTTTTCCCAAGAATTTTCTGGCATTTGCTGGCAGTAAAAACGTCCCAGGAAGAAAGAAAGTATAAACAAAACAACAAACAGAGACAGAAGTGAACATTTTCCCTAGTGGTTTAGAGAAATCTCTTAGAGTTTTGACGAATTTCTATCTCAAGTACCTCTCAACATAAAGGTACTACTGTTACTCATTTGGTTGTATATTTAAATTAACAGAACATATAAAAGTTAATATAAAATGCTTATAAATAAAGGTGAATCACTTTCAGAAGACTACAACTGGGGGTCTTCCCAGCTATTTGCCTGTTCTAAGTTTCCCATTTACCCAGATGAGCACTGCTGGTTTTGGGACCTTTCTTGCCTTGAAGAAAATGTATCATACCCCAAAGTGCCAGATCCTCTCTGAATGTCTTTAAATTATACACTACAAAATCAGACTTCAGAATATTAGAATCCTATCCTACTATATAACCTGGAGGTCTGATTATGCATGAATGAAACCTTAAGACATATCAAAGAAACACATTTTTTTAAATAACCTCGGGGACCAGAAGCAGGTTTGAGGGTATTCATCTCCGGCTGCCAAGCAGTCACACAGCGGGGACTGCTTGGTTCCAGTGGGAACCACCCACACAGACTTGCACACCACTACATAACATTTATGTGTTCTGCCCACCACAGACTTCTGCAACCCAGGATCCTGGGGTCTGGTCACTTCTATTAAATTGGGAAAATTCTCTTTGAATTGTAAGTAGAGGCACTTCGTTCTCGACTATCTTCCAAGGGTGCTTATAAAGCAAACAGCCCTAGAAATGAGAGGACACAAATAGTGTCTCCCTCCAGAGGAAAGGGAAGGCTGGCTTGCTGCCCAGTACAATAAAGGTGAAATGATGCCTTCTGGGGCAAAGAGAATGCAGGGTGACAGGGTTTGGCTGTATCCCCACCCAAATCTCATCTTGAATTGTTATTAGCATTAACCCATATGTCACAGGGACCAGGTGGTTTTCACAATAATGAGTTAGTTCAAGACCTAATGGCTTTTTTTTTTTTTTTTTTTTGAGATGGAGTTTCGCTCTTGTTACCCAGGCTGGAGTGCAATGGCGCAATCTCGGCTCACCGCAACCTCCACCTCCTGGGTTCAGGCAATTCTGCCTCAGCCTCCCGAGTAGCTGGGATTACAGGCATGCGCCACCATGCCCAGTTAATTTTTTGTATTTTTAGTAGAGACGGGGTTTCACCATGTTGACCAGGATGGTCTCGATCTCTTGACCTTGTGATCCACCCGCCTCGGCCTCCCAAAGTGGACCTGATTGCTTTTTAAGGGGCTTCCCCCTTCATTGGGCTCTCATGCTTCTTGCCTTGTGAAAGACACATTTGCTTCCCTGCCTGCCTTGTGAAGAAGGACACATGTGCTTCCCCTTCTGCCATGATTGTAAGTGTTCTGAGGCCTCCCCAGCCATGCTGAACTGTGAATCAATTATACCTCTTTCCTTTATAAAATACCCAGGATTGAGTATGTCTTCATTAGCAGTGTGAGAATGGACTAATACATGGAGTTCTTGCTCACTAGAAAAGATTCTGATAGCCTAAGCTCAAGGGTCCTGTCCCGTATCACAGCCGACTGTATGGGCAGGATCTCCATCCCTACCCTCTGTTGCATTGTGAGAATTGGGACTTGGGGATCTGGGCAAATGCTGACACTCTGGTCAAGCAGTATCTTGTCTCAGAGAGTCCTTTAGCTCTGATCCAAGAGTCTCTTGTCTTCTGCCAGCAACTAGGGAAATGACAGGCTAACTTGTTAGACTGTAAACAGGTGAAATCTGAGACCCTTCATGGTTCTTGATCCCTTTCTCATTAAATACTGAGAAAAACAACTCTCCTTTGGCAAAAATGAAATAGTTGGAAAAATAATAAACATTAACTCATTCTGTGCTTGAAATCATTAATATTCAAAAATTACCCTTGTTAGAAAGATGTACAATAAAAAAATGCCAACTGCAAAGAATGGCTTGTTTTTATTGTTAGCAATGCTCAATTCTATCTACATTAACAAGTAGTTGTGAAAATGTCATTGTTACCGTGCTGCTATGTCATAATCTCCTCTCTCCACCAGGTGATTTATATACGCCAAGCCAATATCCTAGGGAAAGTAAAATGAAGAAATTAAAATGTAACTGGAACACCTGAAAAGCTGAGTCTCAGTTTCTGGGCAGGGCATGACATTCGGGTCCTATTAGCACTACTGTCTGTTTATACTACGACCTGTCCATACTCTTAGTTTGCTTTACGTAATCATGCTTGCTTCCTTCTTCGGCATATTCATATTTAAATGTATTTGTATCTTCACACATTTTAGAACTCACAGGTTAGGTCATTAAAAAAAGTAAATAATGTTAGTATTTTAAAGGTTTCTAATCTGCCCCCTTTAAGAGATTTTTTTATAAAGGAAGTCTTCGATATTAGAATCACGCCCAACAATTCTACACTGTCAATGGGTATAAAGTTCTGTTTCCTGTGCCTTCATCTGCAGAAAGCAAGCTACCCGCTTCTTCCATCCCAAGTCTAAAGAGACGTTATAAGAAAATGAAACAAAGACTATCACACTAAAGGGAAACAGGAAATACTGAAGTTGATATTAAAGTAAAACTGAGCTCAGAAAAACCTGTGATTCAAACCCATCAGCTTACAGAAGAAACTGGGCTGAATGCAGGGAAGTGACCGGCTTCGGAGTATTGATGCTTATTCACTTATTCGGCCTCAGTTCTGAAAGGATTTCGGGTAGCCAACATCACCAGAGGCATGGGAGGACGGCTCTTGCCTGATCTCCCCATGACTCATCTTCTCATATATTATTTGCGCCTAAAGGCGTTTTCACCAGAGGCTTAAGCTCAATATATATAACAAAAGTTGGATTTTAATTTCTACTTTATGTATAAAAAGTGCACGAGAAACACCTTCTTGCATGGCAAAAAATGGCAGGACCACATTTCTTCTTGGCATGTCTGGTATGAAATTATATCACGCTAAGAGAAAAAAAAAGTCTATGCATAATTAATGTATAGGACATGCCTATTTCAAGAGTGAAGGAAAATATCCATCATTTTAGTTTATTAAATTTTTACATTAATAACTACGTGAGAAATCATATTTTAAGTCTACAGGAACACAAGTGAAGGAAGAATATCTAACTTCCTTATTTCCTGTCAACAGAACAACATACAGGATCTTTCCGTCAAGGTTCAGAGAAGAGAATGTCTCCTTTTCAGAGTCAATCCTTCCAACCTTTCTCCTCATGTCCATGCTTCTCCACGGGGGAACTTCGCCTGCACTCTTCCTCTTCCTTTTCCTTTTACATCAACCCTTTATGTCAACTCTATTTTACCTTTTTCTCAGCAAAGCATGTTTAAGTATCTCTCTTACACAAAATACCCAAAAATTACCATCATCCTGGGAAGCCACAGCCCCCAGCTACAGCCTTCACTCTCTTTCCCTTCACAGTTAACCTCATGGTCTATAATCAAAACCCTATACTTTTCATTTCCTGTAACATGTTGAGAATAAATAATACATATACTGAAAATTCACTACTTTCATATTATCACATTCAGTGTACAACTCACCAGCTGGCCTTGTCTTACCCTTCTGACCTCCTTACCTCCATGACATAAGCCTTGAACTTTCTTTACCCTGGAATTTTCTTGTCTCTCAGCTCCCATGAAATGACCTTGTTCCAAATCTACCATGTATGCATCACCCCTTGAATGACAGTGTTCCTGATGGTTCCATTCATGGTCCTCTGTTCATGACAGTTGCCCTGTATTGGGCTGATTCAAATTTGTGTAAAACCTGTTTGCTGGTAATTCTCCCAAATCTATATCCGAGTCAAAATCTCCTTCCCGGGCTCCACTATGATGTTCCATAGATGCCTAAAACTAATGTGTTTAAAACAGGAGTCATCATTTCTCCCAATCCTGCTTCTCCTTCCACGGGGTATCTCTAACAATCAGTGAACGGCAGCACCAATCCAGAGGCCCAAGCCCAAAGCCTGGGAGTCAGCCTAGATTTTTCACTCTTATTCTCTCACCCACACAAAGTCAGTCACCATATCCCAACGATTCAAGTTTCCTGTATCTTCCATCTACCTTCACGTCTCCAATCCTACTGATTCTGTGCGAGTTTCATCACTTTCCACCCAGCTTAGGAAGCCTCCTGATTGATCTCCATCTCAGCTGGCCCTCCACAGGCCCCATCTCCATCAGAGACTCTTTCTCAAAGGTACATCTGACGTTCCAAGACAGAACCAAGCTCTTAATTACGAATGGCACTTCAGGATCCGGCCTTGGCTACCTGTGTAGTAAACCCCTCAACTGCCCCACATTGCGAAGCAAGCCAAGCTGTTTCACACCTCTCCATCTTCACGTATGTTAACTACTCTAAGGGCCGGAAGGCATTGTCTTCCATTTCTAAAGAATCCTTGCTTATTCTCTACGATTTTGGCTGGATTTTAAAAAAAAAGGATGCTCTGGTTTTCTCTTCTCCTGTTATTCCTAAATTATTTTGCTTCTGTACTCTTGGGGAATTCAGGCTTTCATGTGGAGTTTTACAGAGGTCTTTACGGTAGAGAAAATGGAGGTAGAAAGATTTTGTGCTGAAATCCAAATAGTCATAAAAGACTAAGCTACCAGTTTTCACCTGTAAACAAGGGAACTAGGCTAGATGGTCTCCAAGGACCCTTCACATGTGAAGAATATGATTTCCCCTCTGCTCTCCTGCACATTCGCTGTCACAGTTGGCAAAGAACGGGGCTTTCAGTCACTCTATTTTTCCTGACTCCAAAATGTAATAAAAATGTATCTGATGTTCTAGATTAGTTTCCACAACAACATCAATTGAGTCTGTTATTATGGAAACACCAAAGCAATGTAGTGTTATGAAACCTCTCTTTTGATAAATTTTGTGATAATATGATTTTTAGCTATGATTTAAAGAAACTTCCAGGAGCATAACTAGAAAGCTCTGTATTTAAAGTGTTTTTCACAAATACAGTTTCCAAATTACCTAAAACTACCTCCTAGCAGGTGTTCAAGTCTCTTGTTCACAAGCAGAAACTGATTCAATAAAATAAAATATTTTGACCTCACAGGTTAGGAAATTAGTTTAAAATAAATTCTCAAAAGATAGGAAAAGCCTGGTCTTTTCAAATTACTTTCAGTCTCATTATAACTTATTGAAAGATAAAGTTATATTTCAAGTAACAAACTGCACTTACCAGAATCTTATGTCTTTTAATGTTTTTTTGGCTAATTTCAGCTGCCATCAATGCTTCCTATATTCCAAACATAAAAATGATTAAAAAAAATAAAAACAGGCAGGAAAGGAGGGAGGGAAAATAGGATAGCGTGGGAGAGAAAGATACTGAGGTTATAAACACTATAGTTATGAGGTTGCAGCGTTCTGCACTACATGAATAAAGCGACATTTTCCCATGGCTTTTGCTTGAAGCACTGGAATTGTTAATGCTATGGTTGAATAAACCTCACAGAATTCAAACTCAAAGGCAGTCAACCAAAATGAAGACTTCTCCCACTTCCATTTGAATTCATTTGCTCATTAGGACACTGGAATCACATTTTAGACACAAATCAAAATACTACAAAGTCTCCTACACTCCATACAAAAAAGGCAGCTGTCTTCTAAATCTTTATGACACATATTGATAAAGGAGCATTTTCCCTTATGTTTCAATAAAAAAGTAAACTATATGCATATGTTTAAATGTTTAAAACATAAAATTATTTCTTTGAGAAATTAGTGGATTTAAAGTAACATAGTAATAACTGGGTTATGAACTAGACATCAATACCTGGACTTTAAATAGTTAATCGATGAAAAAAATTTTTTTCAAATCCTTCCAGATGGTTACTAACTTGGTGCAACAAATACACAGACTAGTTACTGTTGATGCTGTTTTTAGTTAATTAGTATACAAGCCCATCTACAGAACTTCCCTAATGAAACCAACACAATAACTTTGTAGCTATTAATTTCTTTTTTTTAAAACGTGATATTGGGCATTATCTATTCAAATTAATCTAAGCCAAAACTCAGTGAAGTGGACAACATCATTCTATCCAAACTGATAGTTCGAACCATCCATCCTAAGTGAGTACCAATGTGATAAACATAAAATAAATGATTCTGTTAAATCCAAACAGACACCTCTGAAATACTAGCTCTATTTTAATTTCCTTGAAGAAAATTAAAAAATAAAACTTCTAACAGTCTAGATCTAACACCCTGCTCCCTCCACCCCAACTCCTCCCCCACTTAACAACAAAGCCAGTCAATCTGTTGCAATCTTTTGGTTCCCTAATTTCTGAAGGGGGTACTGGACAGTTACTAACTTCCTCCATATTTTTGGCTTGGGATACTGTAATTTGACTACATAAAAGATTTATTACAAATATATTTTATCTTCTCTATGCAGGAGATGAGTCAATACTTTCAAAGAAATAAAATCAAGGCTACTTCGTATTTCTTCTTTTCAAGGAGCCAGTCAATGTGATCATCTTGGTCTCGTTCCTTGGCTACTACAACATCTCTTGGGCTCACGATGTAAAAAAGTGACTCCCCTTCAGAGTATTCTATAGGTGAGAAAAGAGGGGAACAACTTGGTAAATCAACAGCAGAAAACTTGGCAATAGCTTCAGAAGACCTGGTTAGGTTACCCAACCCCAAGAAGGAACAGAAAATGTGTCTATTTTTGCTGTGTGGTTGGCTCTGCTGGAAAGTAAGTGTTGGAGACCAGAGTAAAGAATGCCAGAATGTATTTCAGTGCCTTTAAAAATATTTAAGTGTAAAGATACTTGAAAATAAAAAAGCAAGGGAGGGAAAGGGAGGGGCAGGAGGGGAGGAAATAAGGATATAATTAAAACTTGAAAAAAATAAGGTGAGTTTAATATTCTATGTTTAATGCATTAACACTCTGACTTCAGCTGAAAATAGTGGTGAAAATTCTCCATGTCTACTGCATATTAGAATTCATCTACTGTATATAAATTTTATTTATGGCCATTTATAGCACTGTTCTATTTTTACAGAACAATTATACCCCACAGTCGGCGATAAATGTTTCCTCCTCATCAAGGTCAAGGCCACCTAAGGCATAAATGACAGACGCCCAAGCCCTAGGGACATAATCTATCATTTCAGCATGTTGTGCACAATGCCAATCTGAGGGTTTCCTGCAGAATTCAATTATAAAACCTGTTCTGAAGGGTTTCTAAGTGTGCAGCCGAGTTTGCTCTGAGCCAAATACCTGGATTGGATACTTTCAGTTGTGAATTACAGTTGCTTTTTGCCAAGTCTAGAATATACTCTTAAATTTTTCAATGGATTAAGGGTTTTATATAAGAAAGTTCAAACACATATAGAATATTTCTTCCTTTGGCCACAATGAGAACTAAAAATATTCTCAAAAAATGTTAGTTTTTAAAGCAGTACAGCATTCCTATAAGGCTTAACTATTCTATTTTCATCAATATATTTTACAAGGATATGGTAACAGCCAAACACAGATGTTTCCAGTATGACTACATATTCATGGTTCTCCCTTTATTTCTGCACAGTGATTTAAGTGTATTCCTCTGTCTACGCAACAAATATTCACCAAACACCTAGAATGTGCCAGAAGTCTTTCAGGCTCTGAGCATTCAGTTAAGAAAGACAACTTCTCTGCCATCCCAGAGCAAACCTTCCTGACACATAAAATGGGAATGATATGACAACCACGGGGCCATGCAGATTGACATTAAATTATGTCACATTTAATAGGATAATAGAAAAAATACAAGAATGAAAAACAAGGACCCCAATCCTCCCCTTGGTTCTGGTCTGAACTCTAGCCTTCCCTTTTGCTATAGGAGCTTATGCAAGTTCTGCAACATCTCTGGGTCCAAATGTCCTTGTTTTCAACATACGAGGTTTACCCAGCACTCTCTTAAGATTCTTTCAGCACCTTAATTTAAATTCCATTTAGTACAAGTAGGAAGGGGGAAAAAAAACATTAAAAAATCACATTAGCCAGACCTTTGATATCTCTTACCCAAATGATAATCTCTACATTCATTCTCCTGAAAGCCTCTGACTGTCAAAGCATCAGAAGAGATCTCTTCACAAGTCTCAGAAAGTGGCTGGATGATGTCCAGTCTAGGCCTGGCACAGTATTCTCTTTCCTGAGGAGAAGGGAAGATGAGAGAAACACTGATTCTAATTATATTTCCATTTTATACAAATTAATTCTAGTCAGCCATATGTATTAGTTTCTTCTCACACTGCTATCAACAAATGTCCACCACTGGGAAACTTATAAAGGAAAGAGGATTAACTGACTCACGGTTCCGCGTGGCAGGGGAGGCCTCAGGAAACTTACAATCATGGTGGAAGCGGAAGCAAACGTGTCCTTCTCCACAAGGTGGCAGAAAAGAGAAGTGCCAAGGCAAGGAGGAAAAGCCCTCAGAAAACCACTCACTCATGCTCACTCACTACTATGAGAACAACAGCGGGTAACGGCCCTATGACTCAATTATCTCCCACCAGGTCCCTCCCACGACACTGGGGGACTATCGGAACTACAGTTCACGCTGAGATTTGACTGCAGACACAGCCAAACGATATCGCCATACTTGACTTGGCTTTATCCTTTCAGCACACGCAAGCCTTTCTAACAGCTGGCTGCAAACAGCCTTTTAACACTGTTTTGTTTTCTGACATTCTGCATGGCATAAAAAAGACAGGTACTACTGTGTGATTTCAGCAGGCCTGCCACTGCAGCCCATTTAACTCTTAGGGGAGTGGCGGCCCAAGAAAGTGACCTTGTACTTAGACAAATTTATTACATCTCTTCCAAACAAATGTAGGGAATGGCAAAGACAATATCAAACTGTTCCATTATCCCAATCATTGCTACTATAAGTAAATTTATTGGCAATATGGAAAAGCCAAAGATTAAGAGTTATTTCCAAATCCAAACTTACTGAGATGATAAAAATGTTTTATATTGGGCCGGGCGCGGTGGCTCACGTAATCCCAGCACTTTGGGAGGCCGAGGCGGGTGGATCACGAGGTCAAGAGATCGACACCACCCTGGTCAACATGGTGAAACCCCGTCTCTACTAAAAATACAAAAAATTAGCTGGGCACGGTGGCGCGTGCCTGTAATCCCAGCTACTCAGGAGGCTGAGGCAGGAGAATTGCCTGAACCCAGGAGGCGGAGGTTGCGGTGAGCCAAGATGGTGCCATTGCACTCCAGCCTGGGTAACAAGAGCGAAACTCCATCTCAAAAAAAAAAAATGTTTTATATCTGCACTGCCCAATAGGGTAGACACTAGACACAGGTGGCTACTGAACACATGAAATGTGATTAGTTTGCCTGAGAAACTAAATTTTTAATTTTATTAAATTTTTCTAGTTTAAATTTAAATAGCCACAAACAGCTAGTGACTATAGTTTTGAACTGCACAGCTCTAGATCAAGACGGACGGGAAAAATGAGCTGACATTTACTTGGGGACTGTGACAGTTCAACCAACCTAGTAGATGATTTATACACTCATTACGTTCTGAAATTAACCCTTCAAAGTTAAGCACTACTGCTCCTAGTTAATCTCAAATAACTTTTTGATCCCAAGGAACTGAGGATCAAAAGTCAACTAAAGTGACAGAGATGGTAAAGCTGGAACTTATAAAAAAAAACAAACAAACAGAGCATGGCGAACTTTGGAACTGAAATCAAGTCTATTTTAAAGTTCATGCTTTCTGAGTATTCAGCATACAGGCATAAAACACACACTTGAGACATTTTCCAAAGCAACAGTAGCTACAGCAGTATGACACTGGTACAGGAAAGACATAGAGGACAGGAACAGAAAGAAAAAAATCCAGAACTGTATCCAGTTATTCATGTTTCCTAAATAAGAATGTAAGCCTAGTTGTCTTCAACCAACTTTGTTTGATGAACTAAGTAGCAATTACACTGGCTTTTGTATCTCCTTCACTGAAAACATTCGGAAAACAAAATAACAACTATAAGAGATGAACTAGTGAAGAAAACTCTATCAGATCTGTGGAAAAATAAAAAATTTCTAAATTTTGAAACTGGAAAAAATGGAGAAAACTGAAATATATTTAAAAATTGACCTCTGCAACAATAACAAAAAATATCAAAATCAGAATAGCAAAATAAAAAAATACTTTGAACAAAATAAAAAGAAAACTGCTTCACCAGACCACGGAAAAGGCTCTTATATGTGTAAGAAAAGCATCAGCAATGTGACATCTCATTTCATACTTCTGTTCCCTGGCCAAACAGCCCTTACCTGTGAACTCCCCGAGAGCAGAAATCTGGTTTTGTTCATCTTTGATCACCAGTGCCCAACACAATTCCTAACACACATGTGCTTTCTCAATGAATAAAAGAAAAGTAAAATACTAGGGAAATATCTTAATAAAGTGCACCAAGCAGATGGAATAGTACACAACCACTAAACACGATGATGATGGTGAGTACACACACATATGCAGGGAGAAGGCAATAATGGTCGTGGAAACGGGAATGCAGAGTAGCACGTGACTATCCCTGCAACTACGTGAAATCATGCATGTATGTGAAAGGTATCACGTGGATATTTGGTGGGTAACATTTGGGGGATACTGCTGAATGATATAAAACAAATTTTATTCAATGTCGCTAAACCAACTTTTCAGTATGAAAAAATAAAAGGGGAAGGGGATGGCTCAAAGCTTACCTCTTGGTTCCTTTTGCCTTAATTTTATGGGTTTATTCTGTGTTTAAGGATTTAAGGTGTACTTCAGTGTTCTATAAAATGACTATGCATATAAACTGACACACATATTTTCCAGTCGTCTCCAAAACCCTCACTTCTTCTTCCAGAAAAGTCCATTTTCTATGTGCTCTATGAGGTTGGCCTGTCTTTGGCATTTACTCCCTTCAAATACTCTTTTATTAACAAAGGTTTCCTTGCTTTCTTTGCTCAGTTGTTTATTAAGCTTCTCCTTTTTCATTTTACTGCTTCTTCCCTTAGTTCTTCCAATCACATTCTCCATCATTCCCGCATTCCTCCTCAAAAAGCATTGTATTTACTCCCCCAGGACCCACTGCTTTGCTTTATTTTCAAAAAAATAAATAAAACAATAGTAAACTGATGTCCTGCAATAGGGCTAGAAGCCAACCCTATTGATTTCAGTGGGTCTGAGTGTTCACTTAAGTCTACAGCATCTGATTGCCTAGCAACATGGGCGCCCAGAGCTTCAGGTTACTATAGTGATGGCTTCCTGATGCAAGTGCTCGCTCAGAGAAACACTCAAGAGCAGCTACCACTTCAAAACCAGGGCTCCCAGGGATTTTCTCCCCCATTTTATTTCTTGCCATTTAAAAAGAAAAAAACAAAAAGGATACAAACAAGGATAGCCCACTTGCCTACTTACTGTAAAGGACTAGAGAATCAATTACACTTCTTTTATATACAACATCCAAAAGAAAATCCTTTACAGTAAGCTCTCCTTGTTTGTGCCTTGAAGCCACCCCTATGCTTGTGCTGGCAGGACCCCTGGACTCTCACAATAAAGACAAGCTGGAAACGGGACTGACCTCAGCTTCAAAAGGAGATTGGGTGTGTGTGCCCCTCCACTGGGCAACACATAAGCTTCTTCCAAAGACATGCGCAGCAAAACCTTTAGATCATCTGCTGCTTTTTAGTAGCTACACGTTTTGATGGACCATTATTTGCACTGATGATTCCATTTCCATGCCATAATCAAGCTACTTAGAATTACTAGGCCACTGGGAAGTAAAGAAATTTGTCTGGACCAAAGAAAACAATGAAATGCCCTTTCTGTAATTCCCGCTGACCACAGGGACGCCCACTGAGGCTGCCGATCAACCTCACTGCTGTCACTTCTGCTGATGCACAGTGTCAGCTTAGTTTCTTCCCCTTTCGGCAAGAGGAATCCCTCATTCCTTTTGACTAATATACCAATAGAGATAAAAAATTAAAAGAAAAAATATGAGCCCTTTTTTGCTCAGCAATAGGAACAAAGGCAGGCAATGAGTAGAATTTCTAGAAAGTAAATATGTCGGGTCTAAAGGGTAATCTCTGCCAACCTTATTTTATAGGTCAGAAAGTTCTGCTCAGATTATAGCATATGCCACTGATGGACAACCTGATCTGGGTGTCATGCTAAAAGATAACCTCCACATGCCTTTGTATTTGGGGAGAAAATAATTACCGTTTTTTCTGAAATCTCCTTTACGTAGGAAAGTACAACAAGCTGATCACAGAGCGGTGCAAGTCCACTGATGTAGAATTCAGTTTCAAACTGAGACACTGCAAACAAAAGGGATACAGGAGTCATCGTTAACGGGAGCAAAGAGCAGCACACATCGGGAAGAACACACTGACCGTGAGTGCCAGTGGAACTCTTTTTCAAAGCTAACATAAAGGGGACACCGTTGAACACACTGTCATGACTCAACACTGCAAGTGCTTCACAATAATCAATCCTGGAAAAGAGTATGTGGGAAAGGAAACTTGCAAATTCCCATGACAAACAAAGATGAATCCAACAATAATAGCAGCATGAATGGCCAAGGGTGACACTGTGCTCAGGTAGTTTAAAATGACGCACACTACATGGAGACAGTTTGAAACCCATAAAAGGAATGTAAACTACGATTAGTAACAATAATAATTTTTTTTTTTAATTCCTGAGTTTGTTTTTCTCAATGGCAGCATTACAGTGGAACAAAGGTCACAAAGAACGTTATCTGTAATTGTGAAACACTACGAGGGGGGCGGTTATTATTTAAAGAAATTAAAGTTAAAAAAATGTGTAAATGCAGATGCTGATGAAACATCACTATTTCTTAGCTGAAATAAAGGTTAAAGAAAAATTATACATTTCTCTTTCCTTTTAAAAAATAGTCCATTTAAAATCTAGAAGACATTGCATCATTTAAGAAGAATGTGACTTTCACTGCACTGGACCCCAAAGATCTGACAGAAGGCTCAGCAGAAGGACATATATTATTATTATATGATTCTAATGGTTGACTGCTATAAAACATATAATGCTTATTTTAAAAGGCTGAGTTTGGGAGCGGCTTGTTTCAGAGCAGAAGCTAACTGATAGCATGGTGGTGCTGCAGAGATCCTTCCGGAAATCATACTCTATACTTAACAGATCCATTAGAGAGTAAACTCCATTCTGATAGCATGGTGGTGCTGCAGAGATCCTTCCGGAAATCATACTCTAAACTTAACAGATCCATTAGAGAGTAAACTCCATTCTGATAGCACGGTGGTGCTGCAGAGATCCTTCCGGAAATCATACTCTAAACTTAACAGATCCATTAGAGAGTAAACTCCCATTCTGATAGCATGGTGGTGCTGCAGAGATCCTTCCGGAAATCATACTCTATACTTAACAGATCCATTAGGGAGTAAACTCCATTCTGATAGCACGGTGGTGCTGCAGAGATCCTTCTGGAAATCATACTCTAAACTTAACAGATCCATTAGGGAGTAAACTCCCATTCTGATAGCACGGTGGTGCTGCAGAGATCCTTCTGGAAATCATACTCTAAACTTAACAGATCCATTAGGGAGTAAACTCCATTCTGATAGCACCGTGGTGCTGCAGAGATCCTTCCGGAAATCATACTCTAAACTTAACAGATCCATTAGGGAGTAAACTCCATTCTGACCCACTGCATTTTCTAAGAGTTTCTTCATTCGGATCTTCTCCACAGTTCTGCAGATTTAGCTAATTTCCACACTCATTTCCCAATTAGGGGACCTCAATGTATCATACTGGAACTAGTATGAATGCTGAGTAAGAAATTTTGGGTTATAACTTCCACCAAATTGAACTTGGACAAGTCATTTTAACTCTTCCTGTCTATGAGAGAAAGGAATGACAGCAGAAATAAAAATCCTTAAAGCAGATGAAACGAGGGCTACCGAATTCTCTGTCCTCCTCTTCTCCCTTGCAGATCACGTAGTGTTCCAAGTCTTTGCTGACCCTTAATGATCCTCCCTACACAACTGTTATCACAATTTAAAAATATAATAGTTAGCAACACAAACTTATAAAAGGTAATATTTCATCTGCTTTGTCCTCAATTAAAGAACCACACAATGGAAGTTCAAGGGCAAGTGCTCGGGTCCCAGTTCCACCGCAAACACATTTTTCCTTAACTTCTGTGGGCTTGAACCAAATGTGGTTATCCAGGTACTTAAGAATAGTTTTGGCAAAGTGGTGATGTGAAAATGTTCACAAAAGAGCTTATTTGGAGAACCACCTCAATCTTCACCACATGTGCAGAGACGGTGTTTCTCACGTCACTAAGCTGGAGAAGGTTCTAGAGAAGCTCACAGTGCTGTATGCATGTGGGCAGTGAAGCAGGGGGTGGGGGAGAGCTAGAATGTACAGATGATATTAAACAGTATGGGGCCACACAGGACTCGGTGATGAAAGAGATGGCAGTTTCACATTCTATAAGACATATGACATATCAACAAGAGGTTTTGGTTATCATCACTCCTGAGGTTACGAATCTCTGATTGGCAGAAGTGGACTTCCATTCTGTTTCACTAAATCACATTCCATTTTTGGTAAGGGAACACAGAGTTCCCTTACCAGCAACTGGGGTGAAGAGCAGAGAATCACAGATTCTCATAGGAACCACAAGGCTTTGCAGTGCTTGTCTGTCACAGGCACCCAAGGGAAAACATCTAATCACAAAAGAAGTGGTGGGAGAAGGAGGTATTCTCCCCATTTGGAATGCCAAAGAGGCTGCCTAGTCTCAAAGACAGGCACTGCCAGTGTTTTTCCTAAAGGTAACCAAATATACATCAAAGGCCTAGGTTTTTGAGAATGAGCTATAAGATACAGAACAGAGAAGCTACAAAATAATCCTACCTAAATCTTTCCTTCTCTACATCCGAACTCCCCAGTCCACAATAGCTTGCATTAATAAGACAGAAAATTTCCTGTTCTCTAATTAAGAGCATGATAGAAACTCTAATGTGTTCTAAAAGAAAACAAAGAAAAACTGCAGCTGCACATACCCATTTCACTTCTCAATTCCAGATGTTGTAGTAAATACTTATTTGTTAAGTATTAAACCTTGACAAATTTTACTAATTGGGAATAATAATTTGGACAGAGACTATATGCAGTGGCTAAAGTACAAACTGACAAAAACATTATTTATAAAGATATGGTACACGAAAATAATACTGTCAAGACTCCCAGAAGCACAGGTAAGCAAGTATTCAACATCTAGATAAGACTGAAACTAAATTTATCTTTTTGTTAAAGTAATCTCCTAATATTAAAAAAAAAAGAGCAATTCCCTAATATCAACAAAAATCTCTTATGGAAAACAAAATTGTAATTATAGTAATACTCAGCATGATTCTCAAATTAAGAGTTCCAAAATAATGGCCATTTATCTGGTTCTGAAAACTCTCCCACTCAGCAATTCATCTCCATTAATACCCACTAGTAATGATCTTGTATAAAAAAGGACTCAGTCCTAATGTGAGTTGCTGATTTAGGAGAATGTCTGCAGCTATTCTGCCACAAAGTAAGACATTTTAGAATAAATGGTGGTATCTTGTTTTTCCATTAGTCTTTACTAATGTAACAAAATATGATTGGTTTTAGATTTAACAAGATTTAGTTTATTTTTCATATTAATGCTGAGTCCCAGAAGGGCTGGCTGCAGACAGTGGTGTCAAAATGAACATGAAGGTATAAGGAATATTCTTCATACAGATTTAGGGGAAAAAAAGTTGATGACAAGATGTATTCTTATAAAAAATACACATAAAATATATAAAAGCTATGGACTGACTTCATTAAATTACAGACTTTATATTTCAAAATTTCAGTGAACCAATGGAAGTTTCAGTTTACTTACTTTCACTAAAATTTTATTCTATTCTACATAAAAATGACTCTATTAATTTAAATAACAGTATTTTGTCTTCCTAAAGGAGGCTCAGTTTGAATACAGGTGACTGTCAGGTCTAATACCACAGAAGCTCATTTTTAACCTGATTATCTGGAAAAGATGAATCACAAAGAAAAGAAACACAAATTCTGCTAAGGAGGAAATATACTAAAACAGGAAGTAAGAGCTGGAAAGATTTTTTTTTCTTTTTTTTTTTGGAGTGAAAAATGCAGGCAGAGTTCCTAAAGGTAGTCACAAAAGACAATGGCTTTACTTCAGATCAAGGTCATCTAGAAACTCAGCTGAGGCTCGAGGGCCCTGCAAGGAATGTGCTATGTTCACCTAGATGATGGCCTTACACTATGGTGGGCATTATAGCTGAGGCACAGCCTTTCTCCTCCTTATGGAGGTGGAAGGACTTCTGCATTCAGCTTTATTCAGGAGGATAAAGCATTCCTAGACATGCTAGAAATAACTCAAGAAAAAAGATTTTAGTAGAGTAAGAGAGCAAGAGGGAGTTTCAAAAGGACTATATTCACAGGAAAATTCTATTTAGCAAGGTCTTCTAGATCCAGAATGAGGATGAGATGAACACGATTTTGTACACAGTCCTCATCCAAAAGGGAGGCTAGAGTTCTTGATCAGCTGCACTGTGGAAATATAACACAGGCCAAAACAAAATGACATATGTAATTTAAAATTTCCCAGTAGCTGAGTGATATAGCTTGGATGTGTGTTCCTGCCCAAATCTCATGTTGAACTATAATCCCCAGTGTTGGAGGTGGGGCCTGGTGGGAGGTGACTAGATCATGGGAAGGGCTTCCTTGTGAATGGTCATTTCTCATGAATGTTTTAGCACCATCCTCTTGGAACTGTCCTCACGAATAGTGAGTTCTCGCAAGATCCGGTGGTTTAAAAGTGTATAGCATCTACCCCTGACTCTTGCTCCTGCTCTGCCCACGTGAGGCGCCTTCTCCCACTTCGCCTTCCACCATCATGGTAAATTTCCTGAGGCCTTCCCAGAAGCCAAGGAGATGCCAGCACCGTGCTTCCTGTACAGCCCGAAGGACCATGAAAATTAAACCTCTTTTCTTTATAAATTACCCAGTCTCAGGTATTTCTTTACAGCAATGCAAAAATGGACTAATACACCATGATAAAGAGTTCAAAAAAGAGGTGACATTTTAATAATATATAACATACCTAAAATATTATTTCAACATGTAAGAATACAAAAAAACTATGAATGGGATATTTTACCTTTTATTTCTAGACTGTCTTTGGAACTCTGTATGTAGCACGTACCAAGCCACACTAGCCACACACAAAGGCTTAACAGCAACAGTGGCTAATGGGAACCATGTCTGACAGTGAAGAGATCCTTTACCATCTTTGTTAGTTGTATTCCCAGGTATTTTATTGTCTTTTTTTTTTTTTGAGGTAATTATTTAATGATACAGGAAAATAACATGTTATGAAACAAGCTGGTTACAAGTAGAGGTAGATGACTTCATTTTTGATAAAAAACAATTAAAAAGCAACAAAAAAGTTTGTCAAGCAACTTATAAATAAGAACAGTTACATTTCATTGTCTTATATTCATTTATGAAAAAGCATTGAGGGCCCTTTATGACAGATAGTGTCTTGTCCCCAAGACATTCTGGCCCCTTGGTCACCAGACATTAGTATTTCATGATCAACTGGATATAATGCCCACAGACTTCTCAGTAAGTTTGCACATTTTGTCAGCACGACCACTTATCACTGAAAATACGTTTGGAAATCACAGCACTTCAACCGCTTCAGGGCTGTGCTACGAAGCAGCCATATTAAAGCAAAACTGACTTCACAATGCTTTACATCAGCACGTTATGGAGAAGATCTGATACATGAAGTGAAATTGAAAAGAATGGCTAATGGACGAAATAACAAAAGCATTCAAATCAGACAGGAGCCCAACAGTACACACAGGTCAGAAACCACTTACATTAGTTTGCAATTTAATTCCATCTTTTACAATCAAGATTCAGCAAACTATTGCCAAATGACAACACTAAGCTGATATGATTATCTCATCTACGAAATGTTAGCACTCCTGAAACAGTAGAGATGAGGAATATTTAGTGAGCAGATTAAGGCATACTGGTTACATAAAAGAAAAGGAAATGGTCAAGGACCTGCTAATCACAAGGTTCCAAGCAAATGTTACACTTTAAGTTATAAATATAAAACGACCTTGTTGCATCAACTAAACTTAAGTCAAACACTAAAATATAGCAAAGAAGGGCTTTCCTTGTTTTTAAAAGGGCTGTAAGAAGCATAACCTAGGTTTGGTTCCCTTTCCTTAAAAACAATTCTGAAGGTCACCCAAGGCAACCACATTCTCTAAGTTCTCTGAAGATGTGGAGGAGAAGCCATGAAGAAAAGCTCTCAATCTCAGGATAAAGCAAGTGAAAATACAATTTCTACTTCTCCAAATGATGTATTTCTCTGAACCAAAATAAAAAAACAAACCTACTGCATTTCCATTTCATCTAGAACAGGTGAGCAGCCATCATCGCTGCTACAGAAAAAGGGTCTTCAGATTCTAGAGCATTTCTGCAGTGGTTTGTATCTGAATGCCTGGAACCAGTCTCTGTAAATAAAGGCCAGGGGCTGGGTAGAGGAAACAAGGGAAGCACTGTGTGGCACCATGATAATGAGCAACAGCTTTACAGCCAGGCACATCTAAGTGCAAAAACTGCCTTTTTTGTTTATGAATAATCGTAAGCAGGTTACCTCACCCTTCTGCACATCAGCTTCACCTACAATAGGGGGACAGCAGCCACCGCCCACTTGCATACTGTGAAGATGAGATGCCATTCTGTTTGCAGTGTATTCAGCACTGTGTGTGGTGGTGGTGGTTATATAAGGAACAAGATATATTTGTTACTTCAGGTGCTTCAGATTTCTTAACATTACTTATTATGGAGAAACTTCATTAATTCCACTCCTAACAACAAAAACATGAGTCTACAGTACTGAGCGGGAAAGAGTTGTTATATCCCACCCAACAGGAGGACTGAATAGCTGAATAGGTATATACTAAAGCAAATACAGTAAAATCCTAACTGCAGAATCATGGAGGTTCTATTCACTACAAAGTTCTTTTCTTTGTTTAAAGAAAATTTCATAATAAAATGTTAAGGCAAATTTTCAGTGTATAACAGAAGAATAAATATATTACAGAGATTTAAACTGAACTATCTATAGCAGAACAGAAAACCATACAGACCTAGACCCTTAAGTAAAAACACACTGAAGAGTATCAGGTGTCATCAGCTCTATCAAGACTCAGGCTAAGAGATGAAACCACACACACAAACATCCCACTACTCTAACCCATACGGCCGAATCAAAATGATATCAGGTAGACAAAGAGAGATACTTAGATCTAGGAAACGATTATCTCACAACTGACCTCCACTACGAAAACAGATCTTCAGTTTTCAGGTAACTGTTTTTCCAATCAATTAGGAGACGGAAAAAAGAACAATGTGCTAAATACGAAGTCCACAGTGTATGATCAATTGAAGATACAGACAACACTGAAAATAAAAAAGAATTCCCTTCTTTTTCCTCTCTTTCTTCCTGGCTTGTCATTCTATATAGATTCTCGTAGAGTTGTTTATCTCAATTATTATTTTTTAAACAAAATTCCACAGGAAATTAAGACCGAGAAGTGAATCATTAATTCCTGGCATGTAAGTCAACTGCCCCTGGCAGGAAACTCCCAGAAAATGACACACAAACATTGGCTTCACTTCCCAACCTCATGGTAGCAGCTCTCCAAGTACCACAGCACAGAGATCACAAAAGACTTTGGTGAAAAGGACCAGAGGGGGTCCTGTGAGAATACCAGAGATGTAAGTGAAGGTAAAACATGGATGCCAAGCACAACCCACAACCTATTTTTAACAATGCAGTCTGAAAGAAAAAAATGACGTCCCTAAAGCCCTACGTATAGAGAATCTCTTCATGTGTTGGGGATTGGCCAGAAAGCTTAATCTTCATTATATCATTATTTTCATTTAACAGAATAAATCAATATCCTTTGTCACAGGAACAACTTTTGTGTTATTTTTGAGAGTCCTGAGTTGTAAGAAAGAGTTATGAAACATTTGGCTTCTAAGAAATGTACAGCTACACAGATTTCTTTAATCTTAATGCCATTTTCGCCTCATTTACCGAAGAACAGCGGCTCACACCATTCAGGGCTAAAGGAAATTGTAATCCAGACCTCCTAATATTTCCCTTTCTGTTATCCTACTCCAAACCACTTTGCCTCCTGTTGTGGAAATGGCTTATATTCTTAAAGGTTTACTCTTAAGAGGGGAAAAAATGGTACTTAACTATTAACCATAGTAGTAAAATGTCAGTAATGTGATACCGTTAGTACCCACACATGGTCTATTTCACGGAAATTACAGTACAGATGAACTACACTGTAATAATGCGATCCCAGGGTTCTAGGCTAATAGGGCCACCACTGAGCCAGCTAACAGCAGTCACAGAGTTGGGATGGAAGTCTGCACGATGATAACAATGATAATAGTTTAGTGAGCATCTACTTCGTGCCAAGTACCACGTTAGGCCCATTTCTTATGGCTAATTCCCACAACCATCCTGAAAGGTAGATATTATCATCTCCATTTAACAAGTGATAAAAGGATGGTCAAGAAGGTTAAGTAACCTCATCAAGATCACACACTTCAGCAAACTTCTTTGCCTCCCTGGAAGCTTTCTGGTTGTTCTGTAGAGTTAGATTCTAACAATTTTAACGCTACAGCAGTAAGATCTTGGACAGGTCATTTACCTCCTGAACCTCAATTTCTTCATCTATAGAATAAGAAGCACACTACCTGCACTTCAAGAGTTCCAGCGAGAGTAACGTGAACTACTGCAGTTTATGTACATAGCACAATGCCCCACACTTAGTACATGATCAATAAATACCAACTAAGGAAAGAAGATGACAACTGTTACATTTTTATGCCTCCTTGGCAATTTAAAATATTCCAATACTAATCTCTCAGGACATTGCATTGAGATGTTGAGAAGCTTTTGTTTCTGTTTTTATTTTCTGGTAGGCAAGGAAAAAAGAAAAAGACACTGAAACAATTATCTACATAATCGATCAGTTTTCTCTCTTATCTTGGTCTTCAGTTTTTCTCAGCAGTACTACATTCTTCATATATCTACTCTGTCAGTACACTGAGCAATCTGAACTAAGTATTTATCCTCCTACTGTTAAAAAAAAAAAAAAAAAAAAGATTAAAATTCTGCCACCAACTTCTGACTTCAAGTACAAAGTAGCCCAGATTTAAATGTTACAACATTAGCCATATGAGTAATGAATGTCTTTCTGCTTACAGAAATACAGTAATGTGCAAACGATTTATTTCAACTTCACCTTGGCAGAATAACCCATTAAATTTATAACACCGATCCACCAACCAAATTGGCAAATGAACTTTTCAGCTGACTTACATTACGGCAAATTTTCTCCTCGGAATAATTTTTTTCAAGCTAAAATATAAAAGTCATGGTATATCATCTAGGGCATACTTCTCCTGAACAGTTGTTTCCCAGAGTCACTGATTCATTCAACTCAATATTATTAAGCACCTTCCATGTGCAAGTATTGTGCCACGTCCTCAAGATACAAACAGTGAGCAAAAACGGACCCTGCCTGTGCCTGCAAGAAGGTGACAGTCAGGTAGAAAAGACAGAAATGCATTGAATGATCACAGCATCACTGGCACTCGTGACAAGTGCTAGAAAGGGGAAGCCTGCAGTGAGCCTAAAAAGGGAAGACTGGACTCAGTCAGGGAGGTCAGTGGCTTTCCCAGGAAAGCAACAGTCAAGCTGAAGAATGTGCTAGACAAGGGGAAGGAGAGACACGGACAGGTTCAGTGTGGCTGCAGCATAGAGACCAAGGAGAAGCTTGGTGTGAGCTGCAGCTGGAGAGGCGGGTAGGGGCCAACAGAGACCCCTGCGGTCCACTGAAGAGTCCCATCTGCACCCTGAGGACGATGTGGAAAAACTGAAGGATGATGACAAGATCTGATCGGTATTTTATTTTGACAGCAGTGGGGAGACTAGATGAGAGTCATTCACAGCGGAAGAAGATAACCAGTTAGGAGGTTGCAGCAGGGGTCCAGGTAAAAGACTATGGCAGTCTGGGTGAGATGAATGAAGATGAAAATTTTGAATGAAGTAAACATCCACAGAAGGCAAGTGTTGGAGCCATACCTATTTCAACATATCGACTTGGTAAATCCCTCATTTCACTGGCGTGCCGTTCCTTCACTGAGCATATCTGGAAAATAAGTTCGCAGGTTATTTTTTATTCATCTAATGGAAAATTCTTCATAACATTTTATCCATTATATGACATCTTTGTTAAATTAACCATGTAGCACTGCAGATGGAGTACAATCTACCCTATGACTTAAATAACAGAAATTAATGTAAATGACATATAGCAATCACTAATTATATTCTCTAACATTATTCCTCAATAAAGTCTTATTCACGTAAGTTCAGCTTTCCGGGTGAGACTGAACCCGAAGTCGAGTACTGACCCAAGTACAACTTTTGTCAGTGATCAGGTTTTTTTCCCTTTTTCTTCACATGCTGTTCTTTTACAGCTGCTACCACTAAGTATAACTATGGCATGGAAAATTCTAAAATACGGAAAAACTCTTAAGGGGAAAACAAGCATTAGTCATTGCTCCAGCGCAAAGAGAAGACCATTATTAATCTTTTTTTTTTATGAAAGCTACTCTTATTAACCTGACAATTTAATATAAATAATTCAATATAGTATTTAAATGTTCTTCCACAACATAATTCTGTAAAGTCTTTATAGTACAGTGGAGCCTCCATATCCATGGGTTCTGCATCCATAAATTCTACATTCATGGATTTAACCAACCAAGGATCAGAAATATTAAAAAAATAAATTCCAAAAAATTCCAGAAAGCAAAACTTGATTTTTGCTGCACACCAACTAATTCATTAAGTCCGTGCAAATGAAGTGAGGTGTAGGCATTGTACCAGGTATTATAAGTAATCTGCGGAAGATTTAAAGTATACAGGAGGATGTGCACAGGCTAAATGCAAATACTACACCGTTTTATATAAGGGCCTTGAGCACCAGAGGAGCCCATCCCCCACAGGTACTGAGGGATGACTACATTTTATTACACGAATGGACTAGACTAAATAGCCCCCTTTTGTGGCATTAGTCTTTTGTTTCTATGGCTATTGTAAGCAACAGTGTAATCAACATACTTATATATAAAACTTTAGGACTTTTGCTTCCTTAGGCTCAATTCCTAGAAGTAGAACTGCTCTCGATGGCTACGTGCACTTCGGTAAGGTTTTGTTTTCTAATATATGTAATATACTGACTTGCTGCTGAGCAACACTCCAGCAGCTCAGTGAAGGCAGAGTGCTCCCTTTTCCTAACGCAGGCCTTGAACCCATGGCTACAGAGGTGGAAGCCTCCACTTAGAAGTGACCAGCTGTCTTCTTTCTTAATTGCTTTTACCATTGCCATATAATTGCCCATGTCTCCAGTTTTCTTCTCTGGTAGACTTCTGAGTTTATCCACTCTTCTTTACGCATTTGCTAGGGAACGTACTAAATCATCTAATGGCAGATTCCACAACGCCAAATAGACGACTGTTTAAATGTGCTGATATAAGTACATGAGTAAAAGCGTTTCAAATCGTTTGTAACGGCCATATTACTGAACGCTTTTTGGGTAGTTACTGGCACCACTCCTGAGCTAAGAGCTTTGTGAAACAGATAGCATTATTTTCTTAAGATTATGGTGCAGTGGGGAGGCACTAAAACAAGCCAATTTACTTAAGTGTGACAGGGAAGTACATAGCAGGGGCATCTACTGCTAGGGCAGGAAGGCTTCCTGGAAGAAGTGACATGTAAGTTGAAGCAGGAGACACAGCACAGGGGCACGGGGCAATGTGACAGCATAGGGCCTTCAACCGGAAGCTCAATCGGACAGAAATAGAGGGCATGGGGGAAGAAGGGGACAGAATTGAGGCTGGAGAGGAGCAGAGAGGAAGCCATGTTTATGGTCAGCCATCCTATGGGCAAGGAGGGGACTGACTTCATCTGACTTGCACTTAGATTGTTCTAGCTGTACTATTTAGGACAGGCTTAAGGGGGGACAGACCAGCACCAAAAAGACTTGAGAGGAAGATGAAGTGCAGAGATTTGAGAGACACTGACAGAACTTGAGGGCTGACAGTCTTCTGGCACTCAGACATCTATGAAAGACAATGTTATTATGTCTAATCTAGAGAAGAGGACACTGAAGCTCTGGGAGTGATGCCAGACTGCCTGGCCAGAATGGAATTCACACCAAGGCCTGACTGGTATCTCGCTGGCCATGCCACAATTTGAGGACAAGGACATATTGCACTAGTGGTAGCTGGGCATGGCTCTACTGCACTCCGCAGCTCTGTGATCTGAGCTCTAAGTCCAGCACCTGTCTCATAAGTAGGAAGTGGCAGGTAAAAGTGGGTGAATAGGTAAGCGCTACCCTGAGCTCATGTCCTGCATAAGCACAGATCAATGATCCTAAGAGCCCTTTATCACTGATAGGTGGGTTCTGGCCATGAACACGAATCTGCTTCCTCCAATTGTCTGCTCTACTTCTCCACATGGGTGGATAACAGGCATCTCTCAATTGTCTGCTCTACTTCTCCACAGGGGTGGATAACAGGCATCTCTCAAGCAGACACATCCCAAACCAATCTTGCCTTTTTCACTCTAAACATGCTCTATCAATAGTCTTCCAGTATGTTCGGTGACTGTGACCTTACACCCCACATCCAACTGTCAACAAATACTGCAGAGTCTACCATCAAAATATATCTAGGATCCAGTCATTTCTCACCAACTACATCACGCTGACCAGAGACAACTTTTTTTTTTTTTTAATGGAGGTGACTGCAGTAGCCTAATTGGTCTCCCCTCTTGACTGCCCCTTTGCTGTTTAGCTTACACAGCAACCAGGAATCCTTCCAAAACACAAGTTAGATCACTTAACTGACTCCACAACAGCTCAAAGCCTTGTGCTAACTTCTTACCTCTTTCAAATTAAAAGCCAAAGACTTCTCAAGGGCCCTTGTGCTCCAACATCATCTGCTCCTCCACCCCTGCTCCACTCACTCAGACAAAAACAGCTTCCCTGCTGTTCCTCAAAAGCACACCAATCACACATCTGCTTCAAGAATTTTTACACCGCTGCTCCTTCTGCTAACACCTCCTACCCCAGCCCACCAGACAGCTGTGCAACTTTTCTCTCCAGATCTCTGACCAAATGACATATTAGTTACTGGATAGGCCATCTCTGGACCATCCTACAGTAAATGGTATCTACCCCAATCCCTTTCCCTATTATCCTGTTAAAATGTTCCCCTGCTTACTTGCCACCTTCAGCAGGGTATACTTGCTTGCTTTGCTCCACCTTCCCCACTAGAACATAAATTTCCCAAGGGAAGGAACTCACGCATTTGTCTGCTTGTGTTCTGCGACACGGGAACACTGCCTGGCACACTGCAGGCAACCAGTAAATGTTTGCTGGACAAATGAAGTACATGGTAAGCTCCAACTGCACACTTTATTATACTGTTTCTGGGTTCTTCTCCCAGTAAGACCACGTCCTTATCTCTTCTTCCTTCAACGGAACTCACTAAGAGTCTACATTGGGAAGTGCTCGACATCTATAACTGTGTTTGAAAAAATGGAATCTCCAATAAAATGGAATCTTTGACATAAACATATTACAGAAGCTGGATCTTAACTTGGGCAGAGAGAAAGGGGATCTGTTTCCCATGGCTGCTATAGCAGGCTGCCACACTTGGTGGTTTAAAACAGAGATGTAGAGATGTAGTCTCTCACAGCTCTGCAGGCTGGAAGTCTGAAATCAGGTTCGCTGGGCCAAAATCAAGGTGCTGGCAGGGCTGTACTTCCTCTCGAGGCTCTGGGGCATCATTTGCTGTCTCCTCCAGCTTTCTGGTGGCCGCCACCACTCACCGGCGACCTCATTCCAATCTCTGCCCTCACAGTGGTACTGCCTTCTCCTCCTCTCTTCCGTGGTAGCATCTCCCTCTACCTCCTTCTCATAAGGATACCTGTGATTGCACTTAGGGCCCACGCAGATAATGTAGGATAATTCCCTACCTCAAGATCCTTAACTTAACCACATCTTTTGCTATATGAAGTAGTATTTACTTTTTTGTCATATAAGGGAAACATTTACAGGTTCCAGGAATTAGGGCCTGTTATCTTCAGGGCCATTACTCAGCATACCAGAGAAGGAATTTCTGGTAGTAATGAGTAAACTTGTTACATATCTCTATAGGCTAATTTTCCTTGTCTTTCACCATAAGAAAAGAAAATTAGAACTTTAAAACTAACAAGCCACCTAGTCCATTTAAGGGATTTTTAAGGTACTAAGAATATAAGTTTATTGGATGAGTAACCACACACATGGAATAGGGAGCCCAGCGAATCACTGTTTCCATCCTACACTATTAGGCACAGTTTCCTTCCTGTTACCCTAAAAATAAATCAGGTTGTGTTCATTTATGACATGAAGAAAAGAGAACCTGAATGATAACAATGTAGGGCTGGGAGGGCCTGAAGTGTAACAATGTTTTGCTAATAACAATTACTGATCAATAATTTTTCTGCTTTCCCTTTCCAAAGAGTAAATTTTAAATAGCCATGTCCCCTTCATGTCATTTCTAGAACTTGATATAACAATGAAAGCTAACATTCATTAAGCAATTACAATAAATCAGGTTCTATGTGAAACTCTTTACATGTATTAGCTCACTTTTTTCTCCCCAAAGCTTGTCATGTGAGAACAATTAGCACTGCCATTTTGTGGACGAGGACAGTAAGGCTCACAGAGGGGCACAAAGGAAAATGGAGAAGCTGGACTTGATTCCAGGTCTGTCTGACTCCAAAGCCTGAGCTCCTTCATGAGGCTATTGCTGGGATACTCTCTCAGGACATTTTTACACCTCAGCTAATTTTTAGTTTATTTTGTGTGAATTAAGCTCTATATTTTTAAAAGGGAAACAACTTTTGGCTCTCAAGTATCAAATATAACAGAAGCACTAGTAGGCATGAAATAAATGTGAATGAGCTTTGGGTCCCCTTTTGCAGAACAGCTAAATTTCATTTACCCAGGCACATAAGGGTCAGATAATTATATGTCAGAAAATATTCCCAAATCTTATTATTGATGATAAGTCTGGGACTCCACTCCATCAAATTATCACCAAGCAGCAGGATGATTTAATTTTAACCTTCTCTCTCCACCATCAATAACTCTAATGAAGAAGTGAAGGGTCAAGCTAAGGGAAAATGGAAATAATAAAGAGAAGAAAACCTGACTAAACAACAAAACGAACCCCATGTTCTGTAAATAGCTAAGGCCAGCTGGGATGTGAGAAATTAAAAGAAGATTGAAAAAGACAGCACCATTCTGAGCATGAAAAAGTTCACAATTATTTTACATGCCGTGGAAAAGAAAAAATATATCTTAAAACGTATGCACAGGAAATAATTTGAGCAATAAATGGTTATCACGTCACAATAATATCCAGGTGAAAAGATTTGGGTCCTAGAAGCCATTCAAGACTCACAGTCCTCTGGACCAGCCTCATTAGATCTGTAACAACACGGACTTATTATAAAGACAAGCAAAGCCACCTTGACAGAAGTCCCCCAGCCAATAATCAGAGTCACATTGTCCTTCCAGCAGAGGCTGCAGGGATACATGTCTGGGCGAAGACTTATGTCATCCCGGGGTACATTGGTGATTCTTTGCTTTGAGATGATGTCAAAAATCTTCACACCCTGAAAAATAAAACAGCAGTAAGCATACTCTACTCAGGAAAGCAACAGAAAACGTATTAACAGCCCCCGCTACCTACTACCAATAATCAGCCCTGAGAAATGTTAGCAGTGTTTACTGAGCATGCAAGGAAAAATTCCTGCTCTACACAAACCCTGTGGGAACCAAAACCACAGGGAAATGGCCACCCTTCTTCCTAGACAAAGGAGCTTTTCTTAGACGGCATGGGTGACTCAAATCCAACACAAATGAAACGCACAGGTATCAACAACTGCATTTCAAAAATGACAGACACATAACATTTCTAATTTTATCGTTCCACCACAAAAATGAAGTTTGTTTTTTAGGAAGGCTTTGAGTCTGAAAAGCCACCTACATAAAAGAAAAACAACTACATCTGACATTTTAAAGTTCTTAAATGGAAACAATAGGCAAGCAGCTACTTAAAAATAAGCCAAGAGCCCACAGGTTTGTTCTACCTTTGTTGTGACCCAGGAGAAGTAAGAAAAGTCCACAATAACAAGGTAGGGTCTAGGCAGATTTCTACCATTTACAACTGAGTAGAACTGATATACTGAGTTATACCTTGACGTTCCAAAAGATATGCCAGATGTCAAAAAGATCATTTTCTAAACTTTCTATTGGCCCCAGTTCATAGAGAGAAAACTTTAAGTTAAAGTGCAGCACTGAGAATTACGACCTGCCTTCTTACGGGCAGGTGTATACTCCTGCCTGATTATGCGGGGAGTAAAGAGAAATCGGCAACATTCCGCACTTGTTTCATTTCAACTCTTACTTGCCTTTGGCCAACAGGCAAATGGTATTTTCAAGACCCATTCCCAATGCCGTCCTTCAATTATTAAGATAGCTGTTCATTTTCTTGGTTACTTTCCATGCCTCAGGTTTCTTACTCTAAAATAGAGTCCAGAATATGTTGGGCATTACTATATTATGAAAGCCAAAAGCAATCTGATTTCTTTGACTTCCTAGGTACGATACCAACCGTCCTTTCAGCTTTTGGAAATCACCAGCACAGCAAGTGGCACCTTTTCCCTTCACTACGGCCCTATCAACTTGGCCACTCTTCTGCCACTGAATAAGCATTAGGAAGACAGAGGTGTATTTTTTACCATATTATTGGCCCAAGCAATCAGATGGCCTCTCCACTTCACACTCCTTATGTTCCCTTCCCCTTCATGCAGAACAGCAGACTTCCACCTGTTCATCCAAGACCGTTCAAACAGTAGCAACTAGGGACAAAGAGCATAAACAAAGAATCTTAGAAACTGAAAATCATAGGTCAGATTCCTTACTTACTAGTTTCACCTATCCTTGTGACCAAATAACAAACAAGTCACTCTCAACATCTTTAGTGTGCACTTATAGAAGTATATGATTTGTGCCTTGGAAAAAATTCCTAGCACATCGTATTCTCCCCAGGACGTTGCTTAAAATGGATGAGTGTTGAAGATACTACAAGGCCAAGCCACAAGGTGGCACCAAAACACCAAGATTCATGGAAAATACTACACATTAGTTAATCAAAAGATTTGTATCGCAGAAGTTCTTCAAATGACTGACCGGGAACTAATTTATTTTGTAAATTGGGAAATCAAAACCTCTTAAGTTTTTCACTGAAAATAAGACATTAGTCACAGATTAAGCTGTAGTAGAAGCAGTCTATGTTTTTCATTTAACTCAAATAATTGAACAATGACTTTTGAACAGTAATTCATGTCACAAAGTAAGAAAAAATTGTTCTGAAATTAAGCTTCTTTAAAAATGTCACAGTATCTATGGTCTTTATTTTAAAGGGAAGATTCTATCTTTCTAAAAACCTGCTAGATAAATTTTAATATAAAATATAACTGGTCAAAACCTCTAAGATTAATAAATATATAATTCTAGAAAGTCATAGTTATTAAGAACACAATAAACGTTCTTCTTGACATATTCAATTTAAATCCTTTAAGAAAAGACATTTATACAGTATATAACCTAAGGCATGTAATCCTGAAACACGTTTACCTTTCAAAAGCAAATGCTGACAACAGATTCCATAACAGGATTATTAATATTCCTACACTACAGGCAATTTCAGTCCCCTTAGTATATGGATGCAGGGATTCTTCTGACCATATTTAGCCCTGTCTTCCCATTAGATATATATTATATATTCTCAGAGACCTTCTAACCCACCCTGTCCCCTCCTATGCCAGGTTCCAATTCAGAAGTCACTACTACCATGCCTCCCTGCCCCCGGTTACAGACACTCAGGAGTGTCCCCTGCCTGTGACTCAGCCTCTTTCTGCCATCTGCAAAGAACAGAGCTAGGGAGGCTACTGTGTCAGGCCAAATGCAGAGGGATGATGAATGTGTTCAGTATTTTGAGAGAGCAGGTTTGAAATTTAGGAAACAGGGAGAAAGGCTGAGCATACAGTTCCTGCTACAGAGAACATCACTCTCTACTAAAGATAGGCAGCTACAAACAACTATTTTTATTTATTTATTTATGACGAAGTCTCGCTCTGTCACCCAGGCTGGAGTGCCGTGGTGCTATCTTGGCTCACTGCAACTTCTGCCTTCCAGTTTCCAGTGATTCTCCTGCCTCAGTCTCCCAAATAGCTGGGATTACAGGTACTCGCCACCACGCCCAGCTAATTTTTGTACTTTTAGTAGAGACAGGGTTTCACCATGTTGGCCAGGCTGGTCTCAAACTCCTGATCTCAGGCGATCCACCCATCTCGGCCTCCCAAAGTGCTGGGATTACCGGTGTGAGCAACCATGCTCGGCCACAAAAATTATTTTAAACATGATGAACTGACAAGATCAAAATGTCTTTCTTCCAGCTGTGACCTGGATCTAGGGGAGGTGATCAGTGATGGTAAGAAACAGGTGAAGCACAGTGAGTGCTCAACACCCACCTGCTGGAATGAAGGGTTGGCTGGATGGCTGGGAGAACAGCATGGTGGGACACAGCATCGAATTCCATTCCCTTAGTAGTTCCCACCGAGAAATGACCAAGGCAGTATTAAGAGAAGAACAGTCCGTACTGCGTTGAAAAAGTTAAATATGCTCCAAATTTCAAGTTAAAACTACATAATATATGCTAATAATAAGACCCCAATGAAGGCCATGATTTAACTCATTCCCCTAGAAAAAGTCTGCCTGGAAAGTAGTTGGTCAGACAGGTACTAGCATGCTACAACACCCCCAGACTCAGTGTAATGGGGCAGGAACAAAGGGGAGTTGCCAATCTCACTCTGAAACACAAGGCTTGGATTCCCAAGCATGTAGCCAGCACTGCAGCTGTCCCAGGTGGGAAGCAAAGCACTCTTGCAAAAGGCAGGTACCTATGGAAAAATTCAGCATTTGAAAAGAATACGAATTATCAAGGGAACAATCCCCGACTCCTGATTCCTTATGAATAAGAAGAAATACTAAAAATCAGAAAATAACTCAAAAGATCTAATTCTTATCCTTTTCATGTAATGACAAAATTAAGCAAGAAATTAGTAACAAATAACAAGAAAAACAGAACAAAAAACAAAAGATGATACAAAATAGTCTCAATCTTTGGGTAATAAAAGAATATCAGAAACTGAAAAACATGTATTAGATTCTTTACTTACTAGTTTCACCTGTCCTTGTGACCAATAAAGAGGAATTCATATGGTAACCAGAGTACTTTGAAAATAAGAAAACAAATGCTATTTGCCTAAACTTTAAGGATACAATCAAAGTTGTAAACAAAGGAAAATCCAGATTTAAAAGCTAATAATGAACGGGACATGTTGCTACTCGACAAAACAGAAACATTTCATTGAGGGATATAAAAGGCGAGCTCAGTAAACAGAAAGACACGTGATATTCACGGACAGAAAGACTCCAATCCTCACTGAAGTGCTTACGTCTCATTAAATTAACCTATGATTTGATGTAAGTCCAAAGAAAATCCCAAAGGGATTATTTCTAGAAATTCCAAAAATGCTAAAAATTCATTTTAAAAATTAGACAATAACAGAAAATTTTTAAAAAATTAAGTAATTTAGGGGGAGGGATAGATTTTTCCAGACAGACAATAAAACATTTTATAAAATCAACACTCAAAACAATACAGAAATGTTTCTAGAATTGACAGATGAAGGAAAAAGAATAAACTGATAAAGATGAATCAAAATGATATGGGTCAGGAATAGGGATGTGAGGTGAGGGGTACAGCAGGGTGCATGCAGAGAAAAAGAGGTGTCTTCAAACCACTGAGCTGTGGTCTTGGACACCATCTTTCTGGAGGGTCGTTTGGCATTATGGACTCAAAGCTTTAAAAATGATGCCAGGAAGTCCCTACCTAGAAACCTACGCTAAGAAATGATCAGAAAAGTTAGTGAAGATTCATGTAAAGCTATTTATAACAGCCAGAAATGGGCTAACAACTGAGGGATGACAACATAACATAGTGGAGCACAAATGAGTATGTATCGATTTTTAAATGATTTTATACATGTATGTTCATTAACACAAAAAGCTATGAGGGCATATTAAATAAAGCAGATTATGAAACAGTATGAAATACAATGCCCTTAAAACAAAATGCGAATGTGATTCAACAAATATAAAATCTAAAAGACACATGACAAAGTAATAATTCTACAAATGAGTGCAGACATTTTATACTAATTTCTATTTTATAATTCTGCACCGAAAATGATATTTCTATAATGTTAATACATCAGTGGGAATGAAAATCCATTTTCTTATTTTTAAAATCAGGAAAACTTAGGGGAATAGTTAAAATGAAACAACAAAACAATATCAAAAATTCACTGGAGGCTGGGTACAGTGGCTCACACCAGTAATCCCAGCACTTTGGGAGGGTGAGGTGGTGGATCACCTGAGGTAAGGAGTGTGAGACCAGCCTGGCCAACATGGTGAAACCCCTTCTCTTCTAAAAATGCAAAAAAAACTTAGCCAGGTGTGGTGACCAGAACCTGTAATCGCAGCTACTCAAGAGGCTGAGGCAAGAGAATCACTTGAACCTGGGAGGAGGAGGTTGCAGTGAGCTGAGATCGCGCCACTGCACTCCAGCCTGGGCAACAACAGCAAAACTCTCTCTCACGAAAATTAAAAAAAAAAAAAAATTCACTAGAACTTTAATGTTTGAAGCATACTGAACATGTATTAGAAATGAATTTACGTAAACTGTACATACTTTTAAAATAGAACAAACTTCTTTAGAAAATTGTTACTTAAATCTTGTTGTAGTTACCACCAAAATGCAAGCTCACTCCAATGGACCCTTTCTGTTATAGTCAGTGTGCTGGGAGCTACAGGAGAAAGCCAAGCCCACTGGACTCTGGCCTGCTTTTGTCTCCTACTCCACCTCCCAAAACTAAAAACTAAAAACTTCCAGCAGAGGGCAGGAGGCAAAGGAAGGAAGAAGAATTCTGAATCCAGATCATCTCAGGGCTGATTCCCAAAAACCTTGTGGACCCTGCTCTGACATGCAATCAAAAGACCAAAGAAGCTTCTCCCAATGGTATTTCTGCAATGCAGACAGGCACATGCCATTCTATGCAACTAATCTGTGCTCAAAAAAGGAGGGGGTATAAAAATTAATCTCTGTCAATAAAACAAATTTTAACTAATTACCATTACAAGTTTTGACAGGATTCACGTTATTTTCTTATGTTTTTTAAATGGTCTTAAGTCCCTATCAATAAAGTGAGTTTGTGGATGAAAAATAAGAAATCTGTAAATAAAGTAGGTCATCATAAACATATTAAGGAAAGTCATCATTTAGGAGAATTCTTTTGTAAGTCAAGTAATTTCCCCCCAATTTATTGGTTCTGTATATGTTTCATGGTCACGCTGGTTGTCTCACCGCACAACTATTCTATTAAATCTCATTCACTGAGATTTGTGTTTACCTTGCATTTCCCCAACAAGAGTGTTGGGGAAAAGGACCATATCTTTGCTAGACACATAGGCATAATAAATATTAAATATTAAGCAGGCTTCCCTAGTCTATAGTCTTAATCCTTTCCTTCTCTGACCATACACACAATGCGTTTGCTGTAGAAGGAGCTACGTGATTTCCCAGAACTCTTCAGTTACTCAGCCCATCTTTACAGTTAGCAACATTCCTAAACTATTTTGAATACACTGGAATCTACTCCAGTCTCAAAAGTTTCAAGAACACAATGACTGATTCATACAATTCACACAGTCTTGCTTTAGAAAGGGCTCACTT